TTTCCTGAAAAAGGTCAACCATGCAGCAGCTCTCTTTGGCTTGAGTAGAAATATAGTAAAAAAAAAAAAAAAAGGTAGCTTCTATAAACTGAACAATTATTAGTAGGTTTATATGGTCATCAGCAATGACTAAAGTCAATCAATGTTATGTTTAGATTTGACAATCATGTATTGTATAGAGAAGCCAATTAGAAAGAGCTGCTAAAGTACACTCTTGTGCTCTGCTCAGACTTGTTTCTATACAGGTCTGGTAACCTACTGTAGCTTGTAATCTTGTCCGTGATCCATTGAGGTCTACAGTCAAATTGAAAGGATTCTCGGATATCTTAACCACACAGAAAAAGCAGCTGGAAATGCAGTGTGCGAGTTTCTGTTCCCAAATATTCACAGCCCTGCTCAATCTTTATAATCGTACTTGCTAGCCAGTGAGCTCATACCTCCCCACTGTACAGTACACAGAGATGCCAAGAGGAGAGGCAGGTCTTTGCTTGCCCTTTTCTGCCTCCGTCTCTCTCCCAGGCAGCTGCATGCAGAGGTCTGAACGTGCCTGCTGAGAAGCAGCATGGGGCTGGCTAGCTGAGAGTTTACTAGATGGGGCTCACCAGGAAGAGAAAAAACAGAGATGTAAAATCGTATGTTGTTATTGCCCTCCTCTTGCACTATGACTCACATTCCCTCTCAGAGTCGAGCCTGCTCATCACAGGAGAAAAGGGGCAGAGAGGAAAAACAAGTGCAACCTATGCCACTGACCCATTGCCAAATTCGATCCATTTACCGGCAAAGTATTTCTTTCTGTTTTTCTGGCCTTCCCTGCCCTCTCCCCCTCTGTGTTATGCAAGACTTAGACTGTGTGGAAAGTATTCCTGCCAAGTTAATCACAGCCCTAAGGACACATTTGGTAAACTTATCAGTTAGCTCAATGCATGGCATGCATCCTGTTCAATGACAAGTGACTATTTTAAAGAGCTGCAAGAAAGCTAAGCTGATGTCTGTTCTGTTGTTGTCCTGCGTTCCTGCCTTTGCTATCATCTGATTTTAAAGGTACCATATAAATAAAGCGATTGTTATTATTATTATTTGCTACACTTGGCAATATGTGTTGAGTTTATTGGTGTTCGCATCAATTCAAATGACCTTAAGAACAAGTCATTGATTTGATCCCAAATGCTTTCTATAGGTTATGATTAAAGACTGCTTTCTGCGCTTTAAAAGATAAAACTGATTGGGGATTTAGAAAAAAAAAAGGTTTTAACTTGAAAATGTAACCAGGAAACAGACGAACCGCTCCATCTGATGCACAAACAGAGAAAGAAAAATCACCAGGTAAGACTCATATCTTGGGTGATAGCTTTGCACAGCATTGTGAGTCACTGTTCCAGCAGCTGGATATCCTTCCCATGAGTAGCGCAGTGAAAGTGCTTGGAACACCACTCATTCCGAGCCATGTTGTCTGTTGTTTTAATGACTGCTTTGACTTGACCTATCTGGCAGTTATCCAAATTGCCTGGTCTCCCTGTTTGCAATTTGCATGATGCTTATTGGCTCTAGTTCAACTCAATTTGGATAAATTTGTGTAGTAGAATTTCGAATATTGTTTGATTAGTTGATTGACGCAAAATCGGCAATTTCCTGACAAACTGATTACCGTACGATTTGGTGTTTATCTTTTTCAGTGTGTACTAGAAACTAGTAAGTCTGATGGCCTTTCAGTGAGTTCAAACCATTCAAATGAAGTCACAGTGTATGTGAAAGTAAAAACACCCTCTACAAGTCAGTATTAACCTCACAGCTTCATCTAATTGCGATTAACTCACTTGTTAATCAGTTCATTATATAAGAAATACAAAGAGAGCCAATACAAAAAACACCAAGATTGAAGTTAATCGCATTTACTGCAACTGCCTTGCTAGTAGCAAAATGAAATGAGTGGAATGACAAAATAACGTGCACTCTGCATTGGTAACTGATTGACAACCATCCACATTATCGACAAAAAAACAAGACCTATTAACACTCAGAACAGGTGAGGAAAAGACTCGATAATCATACCATACCAACGTCAAACCTGAAGCAATGAGTGACACCCCAGAGCTGTTTGTATCATCCATGGTTGGTAAGTTAGTTAGAACAGTTTAAAGTGTCTTAATGCATGCTTTGAAGTAAACAACACTTTCTCTTATTAATCTGTTATTCAGCTTGCTAGCAGCAATCTCCAAGATGCAACCACAACAGTGCAAAACCTATCTATACGCTCTAATGATTTCTATCTATGCATCAAATCATATTTATAATGCGTGCGCCCCATGTGCGGAGGCTGTGGTCCTCCGAGCAGGCGGCCCGGATTAAAATCCGACCTGTGGCTCCTTTTTCCGCGTGTCATTCCCCACTCTCTATCCACTGACCTTTATATAAAATAAAGGCATAAAAAGCCCCAAAAAATAAACCTTTAAAAGACAACATAATTATAACATAGTCAGCATCCTGTATTCTTTCTTTCCCCAACTAAAAACGTCAAGTTTTTCTTTGCTATGTGCAATGGTATGTCCAACCTACTGATTTTGATTATATAATTTGCTTTGATAAAAAGTAAATTGATGGCTTACTATTTTATCATTGGACATTGGGAGCAGATGCTGCATAGAAGGTTGAAAAGCCAATCCTTGATGCAGTTAACAAAATAACCTCTAGAACAATCAAATCTGGTGTCATGATACATGCCGAAACAGTGGGTCCTACCAGTAGTGTTTGCTCTTACCGTGCACAGCGAAAACGTTACAGGGCTGGGTCCCATGGCGTGACGACTCTCTCTTTCCACCCTTGATGAAGGCTGGTAGACTGGGTCTCCTCTGGTCCCCTACAAACTTTCCCGGCTGCTGCCCCATAAGGGCAGGGTGCCAGGCCGCAGCCGGGACTCTCCAAGCTGGACCCGGTCACTCACAGTTTTAACAACTGTCCAACAGTCAGGAGAAGGGGGTCAGGAGAAGACAGGTACCCCTTTCCCCAGCTCCGTCTGCCCTCTCCTGGAGTGTGGGTGATGCCCTTCACCTATGCAGATCTCTTTAACTCCCGTACGACTGTGGTTATCATGCATTAATGGAGACTGAATGCACCAGAGGTCAAAGTTCGGCCTTGCAGAGTAATCTAGGGAAGAAAAAAAAAACAATCAATGTTGATTACATTAGGTGTCATAAGCTGCTTTTTGAACATAATAAGCATACAAAACATAAAGACTATATGCATACACCGGAAGTCTACATGTGAACAATTCATGCTTAAAACCTCACAATGACACAGTGGTGAATCAACATGTACATCATAGGGATTAAACTAAAATGAACACCAATGCAATAATGATTTTCTAAAAGGATTTTGTGCCACAACATCTCAATAAATACTACATTTGCTCCAAATATGCACTTTTTTTTAATATTAAACTGCCTTACTTCGCCTTCATTTTGAAGACAATAATCTAATGTGACTCCTTGTGTAAAACCCAAATCCCTCTGTTTGAACAAGGCTCATGTTTACTCTATGAAATTCCTCTTTTTAATGCTCGTCAAGCTCAATAAATATGGAGCTTACGTTGGTTAAAAAAACAGTAAACAACACGTCACAAAAACAACTATCAGGAGATTGACTGAGAGCAACAAAAACAAAGTGACTTGACTCGTTTATAATTTAACATTGGGGCCAAAGAAAATTGCAAAACATAAAAGGTGTTTAAAGACATGAATTGTTATGTCCCCTAACCCTGTTGTGTCTTGGCAACACTTTTAAATACAAATCTATGTCACAAACATTAAATCATCCACAACAACCACTGAAGTACAAATACAAGACTTGGACAAACTTATTCCAAACTTACACCGTTGTTACGAATGACTGCAGTTAAAACAAATGTAGAAAGTTGACTTACATGGCCATTGAAACATTTACATTGTTGGTTTGCAGGCGACCTCAAGCTAATGTATAAGTTAGCCATGGAGGCTAACCTACACTCAACAGTTGGCTCTTGCTGAGTAGCTGTTCACACGCTGCTTAATAATCGTCGGACAAGTGCACGGAAGTGTCTCCAAAATAAGTTTGTGGTTGCCACAATGTAATCATTTGCCAATCGTCTTTCCAAAGCAAGAGTTTTCGCTCTGTTTCAAACTTCCGTGTCCGATCTTCCCGTCTTGCTGAGTTTCTTCCCCTGTGGTACCCGGACTAAAGGCACTTCAATCAGGGAGGTGAAGGGAAATCGAGGAAATTCTGCCGGCCAGAGACCGACGACTCTTTCTGCAAGCCCTTTCCTCTGTTTACAGCCGCAGAGCTCTTCCTTACCGACCCCTTTTTTCGCGTACTTATTCATCGTTTTCGCGTGAAACTCTGTGCAATAAACTTTGGCCGAGTAGTAGTTGTGTCGCTGGTGCCGCCATACTTCCATACGCAAGGTGGTTTACAGAAGTATGTGGGTGGGGCGACGTGTGACGTCACATGCGTGCGTGGGCTAGTAAAGTGGTACCAGAGCAACGTTTTATTATGCTAGGAGAGCAATGGGACAAACCTGCTGAACTCAGAAGCAGCATTCATGAGAGGAGAAGGGGAAGCCTACCTAAAGACCCGTATGAGATCTAAAATACATGTTAAAAAGGTATGAAAATGTATGTTGATGAAACAAAAGCTTCATTTTTACAAAGGCTCCAATACCTCTCATAAGGCATTTTGCAAAAAAAAACTTTAAACAACAGATATATTTGTGGCACTTATGAGTTATTTTTATCCTTAAAAAATATATAAAGTGTAAAAAAAATAGTTTTTCCTGGGGTTTACCTTATTACTATCACTAGGGGTTCAATAATCAGTAAATACAGTCTTGTTTCCCAAAAGTAAACATTTTGAAAGGGTTCATGTATATTACTGTTCATTCTTCTGCAAAATAAACACAATTCTACAAACTTCTTTTTCTAACATGCTTATGTTACTGTTTTTCATTAATGGAAAAAAAAACAAAAAACAGCTTGAAGTCCTAAATATTATAGAAAATTTATTGCATAAAACAGTTTTCTTTTCTATAACATCACACATCATCCAAAGTATTCCACTTAACCTCTGTAAAACTTAAGTTTAGCTGCTCTAGTCATTTTTAAATCCTGTAAAGCTTTAAAAGCCCGTTCCAATAGCCGGCAACCAGAATCATCAGGCCAGTAAAGATATAATTAACTGTTTAATTACACGACTGACTGACACAATAGTGACGGGTCTTTGATAAAGGCAAGTTCAGTTCTTGCATTGGTGGTCCCTTTTGAAGCTACTTGATGTAATCTAGGTTTTGTTACAAGGTCACAGTTCGGATGTATGCTCTTTAACCTTCCTGCTCCAACAGCTTCTGTTGAGTCAACATTACAATCTCCTCCATCACTTCTGGCTTCAAGATGTCTTTGACCTACAGAGACAGAACAAAACATGTGATTACAGAAATGTTACACTTAGGCTAAATGTTAACAAACCAGCTAAGTCAAGTAAGATGTGCCTTTATTTTCTCATTTGTGAAAGCAGCAAATATATAAAGGATTGAAGCAATAAACATACTAATGTTTTTGAATACCGAGAAATACCATTAGCATAGTCTCATGAGTTATGAAGTCATCTGTTCTCGACCCAAAGTGTGGAATCATCCATGTTGACTTCAATTTTACACCAGCAGGGTCAAAGTTGAGGATTGTAATTAGTTGTTTCTGTAGTTTTCCAATTTCACCACCAGGTGGCATAATACATCCCCAAAAATTAAACTATTTATTGAAGAGTCTTTTCATTGCCATTGCTTTACATTTGCTTTTTACCTGGTGTTGAACTGAAGATTCATAGCAATAGAGAACACTGGTGTCGAACAAAAGGACCTTGTGTGCAGCCAGAGCCAGTAGACAGTTCCTTAACCGTGAAATCACTTCTCGATCTGCTAGGCCAACAGGCTGAAAGGACAGAAACAAAAAGCGCAACAAGTACATTAACAACAAATGCAGAAATATTATTTGAAAGCAGCAGATTAAAATGAATTTAAACCAAGGGTCTCCTCTCTTCAGATTATTGATATCTTGATGCATACATTTGATTTCTCAAAGTGATGGATATCTTTTATTCACACTGATTGGTTGGGTAAAATCCAAGTGTGTTTTAATTAATATATTGGCTAATGAAACTATGGAAAACTGCCCTTTGATGTCTGCCTTCCTACCTCTAAGCTGGTGTAGAAGCCTCCAGCTTCCTCCTCCTGAATCTCTGGAGTGGGATACAACCACACAAAGCCATTATTCCCCAGGATAATGGAGGCACCACACGGCAGGTTGTGGAAATGTGTTTTCTGTCTCTTGATCAGAGAGGGAGAAAGCTGTAACAGCACTCCTTGGCCCAACTAGTTGTCAGAGAAAGTAGAAACAGAAAACAAAAATGTTAGATTATGGCAGAAAATAAAGTTGTACTCGCTTATTTTTCAGTGACAAATTTAAAGCTACATTTTTTAATACCAGGATGTAATGGTACAAATCAAGGAGCAGAATCCATTTTGAATACTCTGTGATTTACTGTACTACTACTATACTATACTACAGGCCAAACTTTTAATTAAGAGGTTCTGATGTTTTTAATATTCTCTTGACTTATCTGTTCTGACATCATTCTTTAGTTGTTGCATTTATCCAGAAACTATAAAGCCAGCCATTTAAGCTGAAAGATCTAGAAGTAGTCTCCCAACTGCCACTGAAGTTATATATAAAAACATTTTTAAATATTTTAGTATAACTAATTCATGAGTCAATCATTTACTGTTTAAATACTTCGATTTTTTTTCATGAGTTTTCACTTTTGTATCAGCTCCTACGTACATAAATGGCATTGTTAAAAAATATAGTAACGCAGCATTGACTACATCCAAAACTATTTTTTGTGAACAAACTCATCATTGTCAAGTATATCATGGCCTCTTTTTTACATTCCAATCAGTCTGATGGGTCTTTTTCAAATCATGGCTGCTCAGGTGTGTCATGCTTTAGTCAGCAGTTGTCATTGTGTACACTGGCATAACTCACTTTTCCATACTTTAAACTGCGGGTGTGAAGTGATAGGGCTCCATCCGAGTATACAGACTGCACCTCGGCCTAGAAAGAGATAAACACAAAAATCAGAGTTGGTGATAAGAAGATGGCACAGCCAATGAAAGATAATGAAAAAACAAAACAGTGAGTTACACTGATAAGATCGCCCTCTTGAAGGTATTCCCTCATGGTGAGCTCATCTTCTGCTGATCGTCTCCTCTAAAACACAAAATTAAATGTAGCATTTTTAAAAACAAATACAATACACTCTTTAACAAACTTCATATTACAGGCATATTAATACACTGTCACACAGATAACATTGTAATGCAGCCCATTCTTCTTCATGTGAATCAAACATTTAAGCGGCTCACCAGCTCTCCTCCAGGCAGATTAACAGAAGACAACAAGAGGACGGAGTCCAACCGGGAGTTGGTCTCCACCTTCCATCTTTTTTGTTGTACCTACACAAAAAAACACTTATTAGTAAACAAATCAAACTAGATTTAGCTTGTTAAGCCATAAATTCCAAGGTACACTTTAAAAAAAAAAGTAAGACATCACATACAGGGGAAGATGGGGGGGGGGATAGCATTACCTCTGTGATTCTGCCAACCACCACATCTCCAACCTCTCCATTAAACCTGCAAACAAAACCATGCAGCAAAATGATTCTTCTGCTATCATTTGCCTTTTTGACACAAGATGTTTAAGCGCGTACATTTACTCTCTTACCTGGTCTTAAGTGGTCTTACACAGATCAGCTTGTCCACTCTCTGCACCTCTCCAGCAACGGATGCCGTCAGCTTGTCCTCATCTACATAGGTACCATGACCTCTGAAGATAAATATTTTATATCAGTACCTTTGAGTAATATAGACAAAAAGAGTTGACTTTGCTCCCTATCCCTCTTCCTGCATCTTATCCCATCTCTCCCCCCCTATCCCTTTCCAAGCCCGGCGCAGTCTAGGCCTGTGAAGGCTGTTTCGGTCATGAGCCGGGGATCCAGTCGAAGATTTCTGCCTTTTAATAAGACAGTTTTTTTCTTACCACTGTAACTTTTGACTGCTTTGCTAAAGTGCTCATGATGGATAGGCCATCTTTGTAATATAACAATAAGTAAGGTCTTTTACCTGCTTTTTGTAACATAACAATAAGTAAGGTCTTTTACCTGCTTTTTGTAAAGTGTCTCGAGATAACACTTGTTGAGTTGACGCTATACAAATAAAAATTGATTGAACTGATCTGATTGATTGACTTACTTATGACAACTACAAAGTTTTAATTCATAAAACAACCACACACAAAAAATAAACAAGGGTGATCATGTTTTGCTTCTTCTTCACAGTACGTTTGTCAATTTATTTTACGCCAGATATTTTTATTCCAGCCTAAAAATGTGGCATGATATACAACTACAATATTTTAAAATAAACCACATAGGTCAGCACGTAAACCAAATCAAAAAATAAACGTGTGAACAGCTAACCAATATTTTTTTTTTTTGACTAGGATATCTACTAACATGCATGACTTTCAAGATTGGACATAATTTCAAAGCGGGCATAAAAAGCAAGCTGTTAGTAATGTTGTATGAAAAAGTTTTAATGTCCATGAAGCTTCCATGACAACACGGTGTTGATGCAGCCGATCAAACCCCCGGTGAACCAACCTGTACCTACCTCATGAAACCTGTGTCTGAAGTTATAACATCACCGGGGACCACAAGATCTTTCCTTTCAAAAGCAGAATCTAATAAAGACACTGGTGTACGAATAATTGGTAATCTCATGTCAGCAGCCATGCTTCTTCTTTTTGCTTCTTCTTCTTCTTCTTCTTCTCCCTCCGGTAGCTACCAAACAACTATCCGTGTTACCGCCACCTATCGAGGTATCAGAATGGATGTTTTTGTCTTGTGGTTTCAAGCGTTAGAAGTCAAGCAACTTTCAAGGTTTGAGAAGTAAATATAAATTGATTCCTCGCCGCTAGCTTGCAAAAAAAAAAAAAAACTGCTTCATCTGATTCTTATTTTTTCTTTTTCGTCCTCTACCACCCTAAGAGGCTCATTACTGCCATCTGCTGCACGGAAATGAGGATCCCAGATAATGGCACTCTATCGTTCTTAAATTCGTATACCTATCGTACATATTATTGAATAGAGTGGATGATAGTATAGAAACAGTGTGTTGATACTTTTGAATTTCCCATTACTCCCCATACTATGTGTATGAGAAACCCTGCCTTACACAATGAGCTACACTTCATGTCAGAATAAGGTCCTCTTATATAATGTCTGATTGGGAGATGGGTATGGCGAAAAAAATAAATAAAATCAAAGCATTTCAAGACTGTTTCTTTGGTAGGATTGTCATGTCATAGTCCGACACCTTTTAAAATAATTGTTCCACCTCCCTTCACTCATATTTGGAGTGAGGAATGTTGGCCAAGAAAATTATGTAATGAAAATCTGATGCCTTGCTAGCCATATATTTCTGATACAAAGTGGAACATCCTGCACTACACATAGCTGCCATAAACAGATTTGAAATTTTATTTTATCATTTTAATATTTTACAATTTTATTATTTTATTATTTTACAATTTTATTATTTTATTACAGAGAGACACAAATACATCAACTAAACAAATCGAATTACACAATTTCAAAACAAAATTAAATATAAACACATATACAGTAACCTATACACGTATTCATACACACACACACTTAGACACATACATACAATAGAAAGACTGAGAATGTTAACCCTCCATCAGCTAAATGAAACAGGCATTGATCTATTAAAATCTGATTGTGAGGTTTTTCCATCTAAGGCTTAAACAGCTGCTTGTAAAATGTTTATTCAGAAATCTGCCATATCTATCTATTACACTGTGTCGTTATCCCTTATTGTTCTGTTGTGTTGGTAAACCATTGACTTTTTTTTAATAAGCGCACCTTATTCTTCCAGGAAGGTAGCTCATTATCATGTATTATGTCAGGTAGGACTGCTCATACATATAGTTAAGCAAGTATTGGAAAATGAACATGCTACAACGACAAAATGTATCAACTCATCAGAACGACAAAAGAAGAAGACACATTGAAATTACGAATTAAATAAAAAATAAAAAATATAAAGACCAGTCCACAGAGCTACAACACAACCTACAGAAGACAGAACAAAAATAATAAAGACTCAGCTAACAGAGAGTAAGCCTTTTATACAAATGCATTTGACAAAAATGTTTTTTTTTACAGATAGTTCTGACTGTAAGAACTCCACATAGTACACAGTTAACTCTAATGTGACAACAGAGCAAACATGTTTTATGTCCATATTCTGTATATTATCTGTAAACTAGTATAGCATGCTCACTGCACTTTAATCTGTATATTATAACCTGAAGAATATACTTATATTTATAGCATTTATTTATTTTTATAGCATCCCATTAATCCAGCCATATATACCCAATAATTCACTTTTTTTTAGTCTACATCTGTACATTTTGTAATTACTGGACATAACACAGATTATTGCACTTTCTGCTTATTTGCACTTCTGGTGAGAGATGTCAAACCTCATTTCGTTACTCTATACTTGTATATGTGTAATGACAATAAAGTTGAATCTCATCTAATGTTTTCCGAAATGCTGCTCGTCTATGTTTTTTTTTTTTTTTGTCACCACCAGGTGTCAGCGCCGAGCCACGCAGATTTTAACGCATGCTCATTTCACATAACGGAGCGATGACGTCAGATGTCAACACCACGCAAACGTCTCTGGTGACCAATCAGCTTCCAGTCAGCGAGACTCTGGTAAAGATGGCGACCGTGAGGAGCAGAAGAGTGAAAACTGGACGCTTTATCCCTAAGAAACACCGTTGGTTCCAGACATCGTAAACATTGACGCGGGAGCGAACTTTAATCGACCCCCTTTGTCCGCGACAGTGCGCTATTTGGTGCTGTTTTGTGTGTCGTTGAAGACCTGGCTCCTTTTTCTTTTTCGGGGAAGGGCTGTCGTTGTATTGGATCGCTCATTAGCTTCAAGTTGGAAAGCCAATGCTAGCCGAGAGCTAGCCGTGTTGCTCCATCGGCTGCTGGGATCTCACTGCACGGCATTCATGGATTGATCGCTTCTACCAGTGTAAACGCTGGGCTCCATGTTTCTATTCCAAGTTGTATTAAGAAGATAAAAGCGCAAATGACTCACTTGGATTAAAATACTTTTTTTTTTCTTTTTTTTTTTCTTTTTTTGGAGGAATAAGGGGGCGCACACAACCTGGCATTGCGACACTGTTTTGAGTGTCGAGTTTTGCCGTCATGTATTTTCTAACCGGCTGGCCCCGAAGGCTGCTTTGTCTGAGGAGTGAAGAGGAGCCCTTCCACATCCAGCCCAGCTCCCAGAGGTTTTACTTCGCCGTGCTTTCACAGACACAGCTCGGCATCTGGTTTAGTCGGGTGAGTAAAGTCCACAAGCCGCAGCTTCGGTTCAGTCATGTTGCTGAAGTCAGCCGGATAAAAAACAATGCAGTGCTTCATTAAAACCATCACATTATTACCACTGCATCATCAAAAACAACTCATAACATCTTCTTTTTTTAAATCTAAATCTGCACTAATATTTATTCACTACAATGTGTTTGTAAGAGCTTCACGTTAATGAAAGTTCAAGTAAACAAAATGTGTAGTGACGATGTGACGGTGCAGACGTCACGCCTGCTGCAGACATGACAGGTGAAATTGTCACTCATCTTTAAAAAAAAAAAGAAAAGGATATCCGCATACGTGTGCGTCTTACGAAGGCATTACGGTACAATATGTCAGTCCACTTGTATCTGCACAACGACAAAAGGCTTCGACAAAAGGCTTGGTGGCTTCTCTTCATCACAGCTCAAATTGGATTTAAGTCCACCTGATGAGTTACAGTCTTATCAGGCAGAGGAAAGTTTACACTTACCAATAGGAGAAATGAGATCTAGTTGAGCTTCTTGGGGACAACAGGACTCTTTTGTTGTTGTTGTTGTTTACCTCAAACAGCTCAGGTATTTTAAGTTATTTCCTGTGTGGAGTTTCAAAAGGTTTTCATGACAAACTCTCACTGACCACATGTTGATGATGTTAGATCTGTCAGGCAGCAGCTCAACATAATTGAAATGGTTTTTTTTTGGGGTTTTTTTTAGCTGTCAGAGTGAAATATGGATGTAAACATCACTGCCAGCAAATTATTTGATATGTCTACTTTCATTTTTCATAGTGACTATAAAATGAGCTCTCTTACCCTCTAATCTAAACGTGTACATTGAAAAGTGTTTCTCCCTCTGTTCAGCCAAAGGGTCGATGTTTTAGTTATTTCATTAAGATAGTCTTCTTATCAAGAGGACCACGTGTAGCCAAGGTTGTTATCAGTAGGATGTAATTCTTGAATGTTATTATGGTAATTACAATAGCAGTTTCAGTTACACAAGAGACCTTTTTTTGTCTACATTTATTCATTTGCCCACCAGGTATTTCCCCCTATATAGAATATATGCTGTAAATAATGTTGGCCGAATGGCTTGTGAAATGTTCAGTGATTCCTCAGCACTGTTTCCACTGCCAGCTCCAGCAGCTGCTGCAGTAGTAGAAAAATCACATGCAATTCCATTGTAGCCCTGTGCTTTTAGAACTGTGTACTGCTGCATACCGTTGTCCTCATTTGTTTGCAAACTTCAGATTTGGCCACCCTGATAAGGAGAATAGCTATTTGATAACCAGCGGTCGAGGAGATTATTTATGGCAGTCGGTGTTACGCGTAGTTTGTATATTATTGAGCTGGAACAACAATGGATCAGGGTCACTGCTGATTTCCTGAGGCCCCAACAGGATGTGACAACGTTTCCCTTCCCTTCCCTTAAGAACTTTGCCTGTCTGTAAACTGTATCAATGCGGCGTTCAGGGAGAACATGGTGTCAGGAATGTTGATCAGAGCAACTTCTTGACATGCATCTTCAACATCTGTTGAGTCCATTGAATAGTTTCTCCTCACCATCTACTCAAACTGTACAGTCTGTGAGCGCAGAGTGTTCAGTTTACACACTTTTCAGAAGTACCGTTTATCCAAAAATAAATTAAAGTGTTTTTCCTTACGCAAACAGACTGCAGACTGTTTAAACACCATTTAAAAATACTCATATTTGCTTTAACGTATGGTGCTTTTCACACATGCACAAACCCCCCCCATCCACTGCTGTGTGTTTCTCTTCCTAAATCTTCAGCATGCGCCTTTAAGAAATAACGGTTATGGTGTATCTGTCAGTTCCCCTCTTAGTTGTCTTTCTCTTGTTGTTCTCAGCCAGTAATATGTCACAGAGTCTATTCTCTTTAATCCCATCACTCCTCGACCTCAGCCAGTGCACCCTGAGCACAACCAGTTTGTCCGAGGTGCTATCACCTAATCCGTGTCACACAGCAGCTTAGCCATGCAGACTTTCTGTTCTGTCACCCTGCCACAGCTGCACGGGTCCGTGTGGGTTCTGATCAAGGAGTCCAGGAATTGAGGGATGGAATTTGTTCCCTGTGGCTTGTGGACTAATGGCACTATAGTTAGCTCTTTGGGTGACTTAGAAAATGAGCAGTGTTTGTATGAGAACATGTGGTTGCGTATATCTGTTGGTGTAATCCTCTACATCCCCTGGGATTCCTTTAGCTACTCAGACTAACCGCACATACATTTGGTTGAACACTGAAGGTGGTAATGCTGGGGAAATTCATGAGCTTGACTCTTGCTGGTCGCTTGTGAACTGTTTCAGTTTTTGCTCAGAGTTAATTTCAATGTTTTTATGTTTTAACTCAGGTCTTAGAGAGTCATCTTTTTCTGTTTCTAGACCTGCCTTTTTCTGATGGTGTGCCCTACACTACGGGCCAGATTTACTAAAGGTTTGCGTGTTTTAAAACGTGTGCAAACATGACACCACCCGCAACAAAAAAAAGTGCTATCTGATCTACTAACGGCGCGCAGTGAGGATTGCGTCTTTCAAATGATCAAAACAACACGCATTGACAATTTAGTATGTTTGCCTTTAATGAATATGCAATATGGGGCGTTTCTGCCCCAGCGTGCAAAATACTGGGAGGAGAAAATGCAAAGAACTGAAGTTAGTACGCATTGCGATTTACCAAGCCTGGCAAAAATTGCGGTGATTGTGACGGTGTCTGTATTTAACACCTTTTGAAAAGAACGTGCTAACCCAGGAGACCAGTGTTACGCACAACAGGCTGCTGTTATTGAAGTTAGGAGGAGACTTAAGCATTATAAAAGAAGACATACAGATCGCGTTATTCCCTAAGCATGTTAATATGTTTGGAATGACAGCAGGAAACACCGTGATTCAACTAGGCTATCTTGTTACCTATTTTTAGCCAACAAAACTGAACATTCACAGCCTCTGCATTCTAAAGAATTTCAACATTGACATTTATTTCTTCCTATTTCCCTCATTTTGCAAACATTAGATTTTAAACTGGGGATTTTCCTTTTTCTCGGGCTGCGCGTCTCTCCCCCGGCTCGTGCGTTCCTCTCCATAGTGTGCGTGTCTCCTCCCTCTACAGCTCGCTACGCTTGGACGGGGGGACGTCACCACTGCTTGTACCCCCATCTTCGATACCTCTTGCCAGAGCATTTATGTCCGATCAGACGCAGCACTGGCCACCTGTCTTGTGCGCAACAATGTGCCGAGTGTTGCACCTGAGCGCCACAGAGGACACAGCTCGCACCTCCTTCGCAATGTATGACAATTCATCTTCAAAAGATGGAGGGAAGAAAAGAGAGGCCCTGTTTAATGCCGAGGTTTTCTTATAAGCCAGAATTTCTTTTTGTAATATTCAGTTTTATCTGCTATAACTTCAAAATACTGTACGTTTAATGCATCTTCCACTGATACCTATTTTGCGCTTGCAGTCATCCTGCTTTCTGTCCAAACTCTCCGTGATGTAAACCAGTAGAACACGCAAAAGCCTAACTTAAATAGTACCGCCTCCACAAGGTTTGCACCTGGTGTCATTCACGCAAATATTCTTAGTAGATCACCCGCAAAAACGCCCACCAACCAAACGTGCAATTTGTTGAAACGACAACGCAATTTAGTGCTCTTTAATTGGGATCTTAGTAAATCCGGCCCAATGTTGTAGACACGTGATGACTTCTCTAATCTGGAATTATATCTTGAAAAGAGCAAAGTTGTTGATAAATGATTTGACAGAATCCACATTATTAAGTGGAAGTGTTTATTTTTCTCTTTCGAGATTAAGTTTAATTTATTTGTGGTGTAGTGAGTGATTCAACCATATATTTAATAACTGTCAACATGCATTGTGTGGGAATAATTGTCACATTAGGGGAAATATATTTCCCCTAATGTGAAATAGGGTTGATGAGTGTTTCTTATCAAGTGCAATTACCAAGAAGGCCAAGGCAAACTTTGCTGAAGAAAACTGTCGCCACAGCTGCACAGAAACAAATGAATGCTTTTATAGTCCATAAAAACTCTGTATTAAAATGAGATTTTACCAGAGAACCGGTTTGAGAATATTAAAAAATATTTGATTGGCAGTTTATTACCCACTAAAGATGTTTTAATAAAAGATCTATGTTGTTCAATTAAACCGTCATTTTTTCCATATTTTAACAAATATTCTTATTTTGCACAATATTAAAAAAACACACATAAGCCACAGTAATATGAACAAACAAATAGAGACTAAAACAAACAAACCAAAACAACAGCTCAGATCAACAGACCCACACAGGAGGTTACATGAAGCGTTCCAAGTTTCAGATCAAAGGTCGCTTTCCAGATTCAGGAGACACCAAGTTATACTTCAATAATAAAGCTATTTTTCTCCTTCAATTCCCAAATTTAATAAAGTCGGCTATTTCTATTGAGATACGTTATTATTATTCATTGTACATAGAGAGACCCCCAAAGTGTTGCTCCCAACTGTGAGCTGACGTTATTGTGACTTGTAACGTTTTGAGAGCTTTCATTTTCATTTTCACACTGAGCAATGAATGGTGTGCCAACGGAGGCAGGATTTCATTGCCTTTATTAAGATTTGATGCTACTTTAAGCCCCGTCTCTCATTACTGCGACTGAGAACAAAGTATAATGTTGCACTGATGGAATTACAGGAGATGTGTTCCCTGCCTTTATTACCTGGTGATCCCCAGTCAGTTTACAGTGACCTGGTTTTCTTATACTGCAAAGATGGTAGACAGAATTAGCTGCTTTACTTTAAAAGACACAAAGCCATTGTGTCATAGATTAAAACTCTCATTCTGTTGTGTGTCTTGTAAGGGGGATTAAGTAAAGGTCACGACAGCAGTAAAAAGCATGTTTATTCACTTCACATAAGCACGTCTTATCAGTCTAATGAGTTGTTTGCAGTTTGACACAGTATCAAATATTATTTCCTTTAACACTGCTATCAAGTTTTCATTAACTATGCAGCTTTATTACATGAATTAAACGTACATTATCTGGAGGGGGCTTTCTGCGTGTTGGTTTGCCAGGTGTTGTGGTTTTCTTACTGCATTGCTGCTGCTCCTCTTCAACACCCTTTTTCACCACCTGCTAACATCGCTCAACCAGTCTCATTTAGCCGTAGGTAAACATACTTTTACCTACACTCTTTGTATGTGTTATCATTATAATGGAGTGTAATGAAATGGTGGTGATGATTCTGTGATCAGGACGAATATCTTCCTTGTGATTCAGGAGTGGAGGGACATGAAGGGCAACAGCCTCTGGCAAAGTCTGTCTGTCTGTACTGTGTATGGTGTAAACATTAGCCTGAACATGCTTTTGATTCCTGCACTGAAAGAGATATATATTTTTTTTGGATTAAATGAGCCCCAGAGAGTTAAAAAAAAAAACCAGCAGTTTTGCAAATGTCAAGTATCATAACAATCCCATTTATTTCTCAGCAGAGTCGTATCTGTACTGTGTCATTGCTGAGTGAGTGCGCATGGTGTTTGTGATACATTCTATATTCATGGCTTGGAATTGTCTGATAATGGATCAATATTTAAGCCATGCTGCGTTTTTGTCACAAATTGGATTATAAAACTGAGGTTATAAACCACATTCAAAGACAAACCATATTTTCAGACCTTCATATCATTGTATTGACATGTTTTTTCTAGTAACAGCACAGCAGTGTACTATTGTGGGAGGTGTTTTGTTTGTGTTTTGCTTAATATAGCCCACAGATGTCTGTGACTTTAAAGATGTTTAAAGAGCTCATTTTTCTTTCCCATGTCCCTTTTCTGCACCCACAGCCCAGTGTTTTGATTGTCAGCTATATCGAATCTGCAAAGGCGGCGGCCCAGTTCGGCTCCTACCAGAAGGCAGAATGGAAACCAGACGACTCCATGATAGCTGTGGCAGTAAGTTCATCTCTCCACCATCTGATTTCAGTTTCTCTATTTGATCGACATCTTAAATCTTGCCCTGTTGGGTTAAAAAAAAACATATGGCAACAAAGTTAAGTTATCCTGAAATGTTACAAACAATACATGTTTTTTTCACCTGGTGTTACTACTGATACAATCACTGATGTTTGACCATGTTCAGCTTACTTTGTTATTTTTATCAGACATCTTATTTATTCATTTCTTTCCACATTCATATCGACCCAGCGCCTTTTTTTTTTTCCCAGGTGCAAATGATTATGGATTAAATGTTTGATTAGGTTTACTTTCTTCTTTATTTAACATCGTATTTATTGTTATCAATTTAAAATGATTGAATGCAAAGTTCCCGTTAAAGGTCAGACATGTTTCAGCAATCTGGCATTGTTCTGTTAAAGAAAACCACAGAAGAAGCTTCCTCTGCACTGTGGTGCATCACAGTAAAAAAAAAAAAAAAAAAAAAAAAAGCATGACAAATGTTAGAAGGAGACAAATGAAAGTGTCCCTGCATTTCTCGAAAAGCACAATTTGTCCTATTTTAGCTGTTGTGCAGAGCTCAGGATACAAGGCAGGTATTCCCGTGGCAATGAGAGCGGAACTAAAATACACTCCCGGAGCTCTCTGCATCACGGTGCAGCATCACTTTAAATCACACATCACACATCACACAGTGTGCAGGTGTAGTCAAGTTTTGAAGTTTTTGGGTCGCTTGCTTGTGTGTATTACTCATCCCAAACGGTTATTTTGACCTGCTGAACATTGCAGAGGAGTAAGAAAAGGTGGATGATACCTTAGGCTACAAACTCTCTCTGACTTGGACGGTCATCTCTTACGGTTTGGATCTCATGGAAGGCTGCATGTAGCTGCAGGCTTAACTCTGCTGGAATGCTGTGGCCACTCACAGAGCGATTGAAGCGCTGCATGTGTTGCTTCAGGTAAATACTGCAGTATTCTGAAGTCTGTTCAAGATAATACCAACAATGAGCTCCTGAGGGCATCAGAAAACTTGCAGCACTAAAAATGACCCGGTGTTGAGTTGCTTACAAACGATACACATGCTTATAAATACCCACTGAACTTTTGGGAGGCTGCCAATGAAAGGAAGTGATGGAGGGTGTTCTTATCTCGTTGGGTTCCAGAGAAGACAAAGAGGATTATAAGAAGGGGTTTTCTTGAATACTTGAAATTTACACTTGCGCTTATCTCCCAATCTAAAGTTTTGTCTTACGTTGTTATGTGCCGATCACTGCACTTTCTGTCTGTGAGATAATCAACTCAAAGTGAAACAGTGCTTCTCTGTCAAACAGGTTTCTGTTATCTGGTTTATTGGTAACAAATGATGGCCTTTTCAGAAGTTTCTTTTATCGTTCTAGCAAATGTAACCAGATAATTTGTTTTGGGTTACAAATTGGTTAATCACTTTCCTCTTGATTTCTCTCAGTTCAGGACTGCTGATGAGCTCGAACTTGGAGCAGATTTCTGCTGTCTAAATAGACCGCGCTAACTCAGCTTTTAGAGGATTAAAAAAAGGGCCCTATTTTTTGTGTCGTCTTTGTAAATCAGTACAGATTAAAACACACGATCCTGATTATGATGAGGGCAAGATACACAGCCAACATCTTTGCTTTTTTTTCTTCTCTTTAAATAATCATGAACTTCTGTGTTTTCCCCCGTAGGACATTCCTTGCTGTCTTTTGGTTAACTCTCGTGAACAACCCGCCGACCACAAAATTATGCAAATGATCGGCCCACATAGCGTAACAGACATGGTTTTAAAAATTCATGCTCATTACCATGGGCATGTGAAAATGGCTATGTTCTCACCAGCATATTCTGTATTGAAGCCCACACAGGCCTACTGATTTGGATTTCGACAGACCTCCCTCACGCTGTCACGTAACATTCTTGCATTCTTCTTCCTGCAATAAAATGTGTATCATCATTGTTCTTTTTTCTTTTATCGGGAGAATAAAGGCAGAAAATGAGAACACAACATTGTTTTAAGGCATTAATCACAGCTATAATACAGTAGTAATGTTGTACCTTCTCTTCTCAATTCAGGTTCCACTAAACTAAGAGCAAAAATCATTTTAATTTCCCGTCATATAGAACAAACAGTTCCCTTGTTTAGAGTAAGACAGAAGGCTTTGAAGCCCCCAAGGAGCGATTTTCTTGAAGCAGCACAGCGCATCATGTCTGAGTTTATTGAGCTCTTATTTATGTTCAGGATGTAAATCCGCCTCATCGCTCCAGTGTAATGAGCCCTGTCTGTTTTGAATCGATGTCTTCATGTGAGGAAGGATCAGACGCTGCATCTGCTGTGTCCAACTTGTGGAAACAAAGAAACCTGAGCAGTAGAATTAGACTGTTAAATTCATGTAAATATTCATACTGCTTGTGAGTATGAAGAGTGGGTGATGAAGGATATTTGATTGAGCTGGTCTGTGTTCCTTGTGATCAATGGAAAATTATTTTAGTAAGGACTATCGACGAGTTTAAGTGTACAGAAGATTCTTAGAAACGGCAACAATCCACTTTTTAGGACCACTTGAAGATACATCCGCCTCTTCCAGTATCTCTGATGGTTGTTGTTTCTTGTGGTAGTTAGCTGGGCTCTTGACGGCTGATCTAACGTTTCAAAGGAAGTGTCTGATTGAGTAATCTCGCACAAGGCGAGTGCCCGAGTGAGCAGATGACTCAATCGACTTCCAAAGGCTATGTGACCAGCAACACGTGGGACGACCGCCAAGACCACGAGCAGGAGCAGACGGCATCAAAACAAACCGCACACAGAGATTTGACACATTAGAATCATTAGCTCCCACTGCGGACGTGTACCGCTCAGTGTTTGTATAGACATGTGTGCTTACTGTATGCTGTCTATAAGTGAGAAGTTAGAAATGTCATCAACTGCTGCATTTTAACAAAACTAGAACCATTGGATTAGATAAACCAATGCAGCTCCCAGAGCAATCAGATTTGTTGTGAGTTATGAAAAAAACTAGTTCTTTGTTTTCCTCAACAAATAATATCCATCCGGATTTTTAGACCCATTTTGGGACGGGTATTGCAAATAAGCTTAGGCTATACAGAAGTTGCTGTCGTTTTGGCATCGCTGTATTTGCTTCATCCTTGTCGCTATCTAAAGAATTATGTTGGATATCTATGCAGACATCTTAGTGTTGAACATTAAATACAAATCATGGACAAATTCTGATCCATACTGATACTGAGCACATGCTGCTAATACACTACGTTTACACATTCTTACTGATGGCTGCTCTAGGCTATAACAACATTATTTTCACAGTTTTTGTCCTTCAAGCACCTTCAGTCCATTCTGTCTTTATTGTGTGCGCACTGCTGGGAAATAAAGTCAAGGCACACAAAGGCTGGTCGGGACTCCATATGGCACACGTCTGTATGTTTTCCCCTAAACACCGCCTCTTGTCCTTGAAGCCAATGTGCTGAACACACTGCATGGTGTTAAAGGACGACTTTAACTCAGTCATACATTCCCATACATACCATACTTAGCGAATGTTAAAGATTGTTTGAAGCAGAAGGGTCATCTTTTCTACAGAGGAAATACATGTGAACCCTTTGTTAGAAATAGCCTCAAAAGTTTAAACATTTAATTAAAAAGAGGCAAGGAAAATACAGTTTTAAATGTCAATTTGTGCTAACAGAAGATAGTCTGAAGGATTCCAAATAGAGAGACTGTAACATAACTTGTTATCAAATTAAAGGACACCTTCTTGGCTCCTTGCCTTCAGTCTTTGCCCTTTCGCTCTGAGTATTCCCCCTCATCCCTTCCTCGCAGTGCAGCCAAAGTACACATGAACGAATGCCGTGAATGTGTCTGGGAAAACAGTTAAGTCGGGCTCTTTCCCAGCCAGACCCACCCAGCCAAACACAACAGGGAGCAGGTGGAGGAGTTAAAAATACCAGGGCACACTCGTTCTCTCGCTTCCTCAGCTCCACAGGCACAGAGTTTGATCCTGAGATGTGGCTAGTGAGTTGTAATGAAATGTAATGTGTGGCTTTCCCCTGTGTGAGTAGGTGAAATGTGTTGAAACGGTTCTTTTGTGTGGCAAAAATGGGAATTAACTGCCCACTACCACAACTGTAAGTCATTTTCAACAGAAATCCCTCTTAAAGGCCCAAAACATTTCTGCTTTTATGCTCTCATGATCCTTTAGTCTGTGACGATTACCTCCACTCAAGTCATTGTTTCAGTAAAAAACTGAAAAGCCCTTTACCAGGAAGTTTTAGTTTTGCGTATTATTTTTCCCCTTCAGCTTTAATCCTTTTTCCATTTGCACTTTATATCCAATAGGAAACGTTATAGCACTTTAGATTTGAGACGGCTTTATTGGGATATTTTGTTGGAGCAAGTCCTTTGAATTGTAAAGTACATTGTTCTAGAACAGGCATCCACTTTTAAAAATGTTTTATAGATCTTGTAGGAAATCGATCGATGGATGGCTTCCTTCCTCTACATTCTGCTGAATTCAAATCAAAACAACATTAGACGGCTGGGCTTGAATTAGCGTAATATTCTTTGAGTGAAATGAAAAACGCTGAAGTGTCACAGCAGAACCTGTAGTGTTCAACTGTAACGCTTGGCGCACATTTCCACAGCAGACGTGGACATGACTTCTGTGTTTATAGAAGGAACCAGCTGAGTCAAAAACTGGTCTTTTTCAATTTAAATTCAGGTTTGTCACACAATCACTGTCAATCATGATTTTATCATTATAAATTATTATAAATGCTGCAGTTGAGGCCTGCATATTTCTGACAAAGCACACAAGGACACAGTGACATTTTCACTTTGCAAGTCAAATCATGCTATTTATCCAAAGGCTTCTTTTTTTTTTAATGTCCAACCCCCCCCCCTCATTTGCATATTGTAGATTAATTATAGTGTTAACAAACTGAGCAATCAGGGACAGTAAAACAGTCAAAGCCACATTGCCCAAGCCCAAGCTTGCTTTAACTACCAGCTGTTTCCCAGATGTTTGGCTGCTCACACACCCTGCAGACCTTGAGGCTAATGTAATCACCCCCCTAAACCATTGCTAGGACTATCTTTAGCTGAGTGTGTGTGTGTGTGTGTGTGTGTGTGTAGGAGTGTGTGAGCCTCAGCTCAAGCTAACGACCAAGCAGAAGGCGTGGTCTGTTTTTTTTTGTATGTGTGGCAGGAGTCGAGAAAGGATGAAATTCCAAAAACTGGAAATACTTTTTAGTGTTTAGCTCTTCGTGTGTGTGTGTGTGTGTGTGTGTGTGTGTGTGTGTGTGTGTCTGCTTTGGGATCCGTCCGAGGCCAAACTGTTCCCTCTCTCTGTTTTTGGCTCTCACAAGCAGTGCTCAGGAAAGTGTTTCCACTGAAGACCTTCCTGGTGACAAAGTATTTGGTGCAACTTTCTATGACAGACAGAATACATACGTACAAAAGTATATTATTGGCTTATAAAAAGAGATGCTTTGGGAGTTACTGGAAGTGCTAGGCATTTGGTTCAACTGTGTTTATAAATAAGAAGCACACACCAGATAAACTGCACAGTCAACATGCGCTGCAGCGTTGAATGTTTCTGCAAACAAATTAAATCGTGTTCAAATCTTATCTGCAATACACACACATTCAGGATGTGGATGCAATGACAGAAACATAAACACACTCAATTTGCAATAAACAGAATTCCTTTAGACGTCATCATAGAGGTGTTTACTTACACTTTTTACTCTATTGTGGCTGCACTGGATTAGGTGTTCCTTTGACTGTGTGTCTTTAATTAAACAGACCTAGTTAATCTGGGACAATATGCTTTTGTGTGACATTGTTATCTCTTGTTTTACAAAAACATTTATTGTTTTCACATCTGCATCTGCTATTGCATTGTCCTGCACTGTTGTATACTAGTTTGTGTTTAGTGTTTAATGTTGGTAACCTATGTTACAGTGTAGAACACATCAGTCGAATGCTCAGTTTGAGCTCTTTTACAACAGGTTTTCATTCAATGTTTTATGTATCTAATCTTTGTGTATGATGTGAGTGGTGATGATTTTTTAAAAGTGCACTTAAATTCAGGGAAGCACTGCAAATACCCACAAGTTCCTGTTTGAACAGACCTCAGGAGCGTGTTTAAACATGCAGCCGGTGGGCCTCAGTGCACTGTAACATGCTGCACCGTTTTCTGCTGACTCTCCACTTTCTCTGTAAAAAAACACTGTCTTTGATTCTAAAGGCAAGTCTGGACTAGAGTAGCTCCCAGTCAGCGTTTTTTTCTATTTTTTTTATTTAACTTTTCATGTTTTTAAAGAAGGACAAAGGCAATCCTGGGATGTTCCCTTTTTTAAATGCAGCGTTCAGCCGTAATGGTTTGTGTAAACAGTGTTCAAATGTCACCAAAGAGGGGAAGTGTTCCATGACAAAGGTTAAAGCCCTGTCTTGAGTTCTACGATTAAAATAAAAACCATAATGTGCCTCTCATGTGTCTGCAGATATTAAGAGAAAGTAGGTTAAAGCGAAACATTATTAAAAAACATTTTAATACCTACTCTTTTTTTGCATTGCTGTTCTGTAATCTGACCTGGTCCTGTATCACTCAATTGTGGATGCATTCTTTTTTTTTTTTTTTTTTTTTTTTTTTTGCAGGGTCATCAAAGTCTCTTGAAAATAACTCTTGCATGTACAAAATCAGCATTTCTTTTTGGTCAGATGTCACAGAGAGAGAAACTTTTCAAACTTCCCCCACACTGAGCCACTTGGTGCATTTTTCCTGTGGATCTCAGATCCTAAAACCTTTTTTTGGGGGGTGGGGGTGGGGGGGCATTTAGATGACAATGGCCAGCGTCCTGACTCTTCTTGTATCATTATCGCTGCATGTGTGAATGTTCTAGGAGCACCGAGAATCCTGGAGACGTCTCAATTGTCTGCCTTTTTAACAGCTTTTCACGCTTCTGACAAGATGAGTAGAGGAAAACTTGGTCGTAGATCCATGAAAAGATGAATGACTGTGTGAAAGCTTTCAAGTATCTGCTGTGATCATACTGCAGATGAAAGGGCTGAATAGCTCCCCCCCCGACCCCCCCCCCCCTTCCTTTTTGATACCTCACTGAGATTCCCTGCTCTTGTAATTGATGAGCTTTTGAAGTACAGTAGCTGCTAGTCACACTCGCACTCCTTTGTTCGCCCACATGGAATCCCTCTGGGAAGGAAGTCTGAATAAAGGAGTTCATTGGGCTTCTTTTAAGACTTTTATTCACATGATTAAGAGTCGCCACGGAAACTTTATTTTCATCTTGAGACGTGACATATAAGTCAAGTTTTAAGGCATTCAATCCTACTTCATTTTGCTGGCTCACTTTAGAATCCGAGAAAAAACCCTCAAGATGTTCAGATTAAACCAGTCATTCCCAGCTATTTGGTGTCCAACCTCCCAACATAAAACAGTGTGGCGTTGGAAGGCTATGAGTTATAAACACTTCCTTCTGGACTCCTCATATGGTTTAATTGGAAAAACAGGTTGAGGCCCAAATATCGACTATTTCATTTAAAATGTAAGAGTTAGAAAATACTCATTTAATCACCTCCAACTACATCACCCACTACAGTAACATGCTGAATACACTAAGTGCACTTTTACTTTGATAGTCTTCGTTCATTTAGCTCGTGTTTTCTTTTGTACATTTACTGAAGTGCAATTTTACTTGCTTGTCTGTTGTTGGTAATGGAGTAGTTTTGCGTTATTTGTTTTGGAAGTATTGTATGTGAAAGGCTCCAAACTTAAAGATGACAAACATCCACTCAAGTGTGAAATACATTTTTTTTTTTTTATCCCATCAGTTTTCCAGCCCATGAGGGCAGTTGGAACAGAGAAACCACCCCCCCCCCCCCCTGTTATATCATTGTGTACCCAAAGGTGTGCATTTGTCCGTGAGAGATGTTGTGTGTGTCTAAATAATGTCACAGCCATTTTCGATGCTGATGTTCCAGATTCAGTTTAAAAACCAGCAAATATGGAAGATTATGAAGCTATGGTGAATGAGCTTACTCGTTAAGGGCTTTCCTCTGAGAGAGAGAGAGAGAGAGAGAGAGAGAGAGAGAGAGAGAGAGAGAGAGAGAGAGAGAGAGAGAGAGAGAGAGAGAGAGAGAGAGAGAGAGAGAGAGAGAGAGAGAGAGAGAGAGAGAGAGAGAGAGAGAGAGAGAGAGAGAGAGAGAGAGAGAGAGAGAGAGAGAGAGAGAGAGTAAATGTGGGGAGAGAGAGTGTTGTTTGACATGGTCTAGGAATCAAACCCACTACCAAGGCTATGAGGACTGTAGCCTCCGAGCATGTGCTGCCTGCACTGAGCTAACCCAAGCTTTTGAATCATTGATAAGATTTAGCATAAAACTGTGGTGGTGTTGTTAAGCAGTGTTAGTCTTTGTAGCCTATCTGCAGCTTGGTGGAGCTCCAAGGCTGTTGATGGGTTTAGCAGGCCCTGCTGAGTCTGTTGTCTGTTCATCTATACTCCAGTTTCATGTTGCTGCTGGCTTCAGCCTCTCTCTGCTTCAGGGTTTTCACATAGCTCTCCACAGTAGAAGTATGTGCAAACCATCCCCATGGAGCTTCACAAAATAATGGTTTTAAAAGTAGACGCACGGTTTGCGAGCTTCAACTCACCCTGGTTCTGGATGGTTCTGTAGCAGCGTCACAGAGTTGTTGCGTTCATCGCCTGTCACACTGCTGCTGACAGAAGAGTTCAGGTCAGGTTTCGTGTCATGTTTCAGGCTGCAGGCGTAGTTTCAGATTCCCCGTCAGCACTGTGTGTGTGTGTGTGAGTGTGTTTGTTTGTGGAAAAAGCGATGCTACAGCATTATTTTATTTGCATGCAATGATTCTATTTTGCTTGATCAACATTATCAATAGAGCTTTTCCACAGAATGAAGCCTGGACTGTTTCATAAAGTCATTTTGAGCGTCATTATCAGGAACAGCAGAAGTTTAGACCTGCATAAATTGTGAACGAGCTGATGCCAACACACAATAACAGGCTGAATTGACTTATGTAAATCTTGCTATTTTAGCTCATTTTGTATTCAGTTTTCAAAATTATCAGCCCTGCAGCTCAGCCTGTTCAGGGAAATGGCAAGCCTCGTGCCATCATCAACTGAAGTATCAGCATCAGTGAATTAGATCTCATTTCCATATGAATATGACCACTTTAGCTACAAACATTACAGTAAACAGTACATACGAAAGTGCTATTTAGAGTGTTACAAACCTTTTTTTCTTCACTTGTGTTCCTTCCTTAAAGGAATTAAGGTGACTTTGAATGTTCAAATAATAAAACTGTCATTTTCTTTAGCATGCTAATTTGCATCTCCTCTCTCTGGTAGTCTCTGTGTGATAATAATAAACATTTAATGACGTTTCCTGTCTCTCTGTTTTCAGACTGCCAACGGCTACATCCTCTTGTTCGATGTGTTGGGTGTCGGGGACGACAAGTCCCTCTATGAGCCCGTGTATCCAAAGTGAGTGCATCAACACAAACCCAAAAGCCAGTGAATCATCATCATCATGATTGTGCTCTTCAGTCTTGTTACCTGAATCTGCACTGAGGTCACAACGTCTCAAGTTCATCGCTGTTTATACACAACAACACTGTTTATGTGCACTTAAAACAGTGGATATCCCACTGTTAGCCTTGCTGGCTTGCTTTGGTTATGACTATAAATCAATATCACATTTGTTGTTATTAAAAGCTCAAGCATGCATTAATTTAAACATAGATTTTTTTAAAAGCAATTAGCTAGCATGTGTCTGTCAGAGAAAGTGGCATACAATGCTAGCAGGAATATAACAGCGCTTGGCGGCTAAATCCTTTTACTTAATCTCATGTTGGCTCATGACCTCATATGTATTTGCTGTGGTAATACTGTTGACACAAGCAGGTAGAGAAATGCAGCCAGTAAACGCCGCAGCTAGTCATCGTTTTCCTCTTGCAAACAATGAACTATATGGCCAAAAGTATGTGGACTGTTCACATTTAAAACATGGATTTATTTCAAACCAGTTAACAAGCTACTATAGACGTTACTTACCGTTATAGAAAAGCTTTGTAAACAGCCCGTACAAAAAGTATGCACGTGGTGGTGTCTGCATGCTAGTTCTCTCTTTTTTTTTTTTTAACAATCCTTTCATCTCTGTGTGTGCTTTAAAGTGCTTATGTCTTGTGTGTATGTGCTGTTTGAATGCTTCTGTGTATAAAGTGAATGTGGATGTGTGTGGTTCACATTCCTCGACAGCATGCCGGCAGAGGTCACAGGGACAAGTCAGGGCGTATTCCACGACTTTTTAGCTTCCACTCTTTCGACAGTTTCCCTCTTCCTTTAGTCATGCAACAAATATCTGTATTAATAATTGAATGTGTTTTTGTGTTTGCTCAGAGGAAGTCCTCTTGTGAAGGTGACCCCGGGTTATAAGGAGGAACAATGTGCCCCCGCTCTGTCTTTAGAGATGAAGAAGCCCGTGGATCTGGAAGCCCCCATCACCAGGTAGAGTGAAGTTTACGAAGTCCTTTGATGTCATTCCCTCTCCCTCTTTGTGTTTTCTTCTGTGTGGTGTCTGCCTCTCCCTCATAAAGAGTCCAGCTCTACATCTCACATGCAAAGACACTTGCACACCAAAACCTCAAAGTTTATCTTGATACAAGTATTTGCTGCAAACTTGCTGTAGCTGTCTCCTCCTGTTTTCAGTCCACGTACAAAACTTTGATTTAATTGCATACAATTAATTTGAAGGTTTAGTAAATTAAGCAGAATCAAGATGGTTTCTAATTTGATTTAATTTTAATTTAACATACTTTATTAGACCCTGAGGTGAAATCTAGATAACGCACTGTTATTGAGAGACGTGCTTCTCACACACATTGGCCTGAAGGACACACATGCACAAACAGGAACCTGTGGACATGCATTTTAGTGGAGAGATGTCAGAGTGGGGCTGCTGCACACTGCTACAGAGCCAGAGCTGTCGGGGTTTACGGGGCCTTGCTCAGTCAGTGACCTCTCACCTCTCCTGCTACCAACTTCTAGATTCCACCCAGGTCCCTACAGACTGAACTACTGATGCCCCCCCCCCCCAAAAAAAACAGCTCTGTTTATAGCTCTGTTGGTATCTCATATCCTACAGTGACGTCATTCATACTGTTTCTGCTTAGTTGTTCAACTAGGAGTTCAACAGTTTTATTTGCTAAAGTTCACTCACTCTTTGTCCATCTATAAAGGGTATTTGGCTCAGAGTATAGTGGCTTAAAAGATCTTCTTCCCTAAGTTGAAAGTCAGCAGTGACGATGAGAGATGGTTGACTCAGTCAGTTTTAAACACAGAGACCCGCAGAGAGAAATACTTGCGTCTGATGAGATATCACACTATGGTCTTTGTATCTGTTCTTTTCTTGTGAGCGTGACATCCCAAGAGAGGAACACATGGTCTTAAAATTTGGTACAACTGATAAGATTGATGAACTGGTAATGTTTTCAGTGTTGAGAGATAAATGTTACTGGGATCTTTTAATCTGTCCTATTTTTAAGGAACATTAAATCTTAGCAAAGGCCTGAAGGGTATATATACAAGAGTACATGTGGTTTACTTTTGTGGTTACATTAAAATAGTGGAGTCAGACAGAACAACACCATCCGCTATGCACCTGTTTGTTCTGCTGTCACAAGAAACGTCTGCTGAGAATCACATTATGCAGAGAAACAGAGGGGGAGGGGGTGTGTTTCTTAGACATAACATCCCTTCCGTAGCGTGTATTGTCACCTCCCTTGTTTATAATGGGCCATTTATGCTGGTGTCTCGTTCTTAAGGATAATGTATTCCTTTTAAAAAAAAAAAAAAAGAGGATTGCATGCTCATTACCTGAGAAGTGAATTTTCAGATTTCCATTTAGGGCTTTTAAAAACAGATTCAAGAATGTGCAAAAAAAGATCCTTGTGCATTGTAATCATCTGAGCTTGTTGTGGTTTTGACTGAGGTTTTTACTTAACCAAATCCCCAGATTACATTAAAATGTATGATAATTACCCTAAGAAAAAATGCAAAGGAGCGCTGTCTGTTCGATAAGGTGCAGCGTTGACTGCCTCCTTGTTCACTCCTTTGTGCTGTGCTTTCCAGTTTAACTTCTTCCTTCCACTTTCATCCCCCATTATCAGCCTCTCATCCGCCAGGTTGACGTCGATGTTTGCTGAGTGATAAGAGCCGCCACTCCACTCCAGTTTTTTCGACTCTGCTCTCTTTTCCGTCCGTAGTTTTGTTTATCTCGCTTTTGCCGCTTGTGTTCGGCTGTCACGTCTCCTCCACTTCTCCTCTGCACTTGACAGAGATTATAGGGTAGTCATCTGAATGAGAGCACTCTGCTGGCATTTCACAGGCACAGCTTGATTGTGCAGCAGATGAGTGGGTGTCTCCTGCTGGAAAACTACACTGAAAGCTGTTGGCCTCCTCCTCAGAGAAAGTCCACTGTGCTTCACTTACCTTCTTTCCTCCTGCTTTCTTTCCTCCTGGTCGTCCCTCGGTGCTATCGTCAATTTTAGACCTTTAAGAAGACAATGAATGCTTCACGCAGACACACAAACACTCTGCTGTTTGTTCCTTTGTGTGTAAGAAGACAGTGGGACTTTACATTGGCAGCGATGTGGCCTCATCACAGCTGACCAGTCAAAGTTTCAGACTGGCACAGCTGGATGATGACTATTCCACTGTTTTCTAACACTCTGCTGTTTGTTATCTCGTTGTGACCATTCCTACCTACCAGCCCTTACTGTTTTTTTCTTTAACTAACCCCTCCACAGTTTTACCCCCTTTAAACCCCAATGCTAATGCTGTGTTTGGGTTTACCTCCCCACCAGTCTGCAGTCCCTACAGGAGGACTTGCTGGTGTGTACGGCAGACGGATACCTCCACGTGCTGCACTGGGACGGGCTGGGCAGCAACGGACGTAAGGCTATCTGCCTCACTACGATCCCCTTCTCGCTAGACCTGCAGTCTGCTCGAGGTTAGAGAAGACCCCCACTCAAAGACAAACACTGTAAAAGAAAGGGGACATGATTCCAGTTGACAGAATAAACTTCCATGTTTTTTTGAAGAACACATACGCTACGTCTTTCTTAACCTCTAGATTACATTTTATGTACTGAACACTCAACCTCCATGTGTGTGTGTGTCTGTTAAGGTGGTCCCTCTCTGGACCTGGAGGGAGCATATATCCGTTGTATGGAGTATTGTGTGACCCTGGACGGCTTCGCTGTGGTACTGAGTGACGGTCGCCTGGGCTTTATCACACCGCTCAGCAACAACATCACAGCAGATGTAAGAGCACTAACAGACACACACTGCGGATTCTAAAGGGGATCTAAATGGATTTTATTAGAAAAGGTCTTAGCACACTGATGTAATTCTCTTTACAAGACTTGCAGATAGCTGGCAGATCTACAACATATGACATCATCCCACCAAATAACAGGATCCATCACAGACTTCTTTAAACCAGGAAATAACTACATTGTATACAGACTTTAATGACTATGATAAGCCGGCTTTGTCCTACTGTTCTAGTTAATTGAATCTATTATAAAAACATAATCTCAGGTATTTCTGTGTGGGAAAAAAAACGTGTTGAGTGTCAGTTACATAACAGGCATGAAGGCTAATGGTATATGTCGTCGATCAATAGAGGCAAAGTGCAAAAGCTTTGTCGTGTTTGAGTGTTTAACAAGTTTGAGATAAGTTTTAAAGCTCCTGCTTCCTTTTTTTTTTTTTGGTGTAAACAAAGATAATTAAATGACATGAGCAGCAGTAACCTTAGTTTTCTCAGAAGAGAAGAAAGACATGAACCATTACAGAGAAAACAGGAATTCCAGACAGATGATGCAACATGTTCAGGTCAACACATTTTCCTGATTTTAAAAACAGTGCTGCACAATTACGGTTTAACACAAAGCATGGAAATTCTCTTCTTAAAAATCCATCTGCACAAGTTGTTTTTTTTTAAATCTTCTGTCAAACCTAACGATAGAAATGAGTCCAGATAGAAACGTTCAATTTAAATCATGCTGTGCTCATTCTCTACTTTAGAGTTTTGATTATAAATAACTAATTAATACAGGTCATTTCTGACTTGCAACTGATGTTATAATGGAGGCCCTTCTTGCATACTCATTAATATTTCTTGTGTGTTTGTGCGTGCAGCAGCTGCAGGGTGTCTGGGCAGCAGATGTCACTGATGGCACCTGTGTGGCTGTCAACAACAAGTACAGACTGATGGCCTTTGGGTGTGCCAGGTACGTGTCTCTGTCTGCATCTTTACAGTACAGTGTTGGAAAGAAAACCATGGCCGTGTGTTTGTTTGCATCCAAGTGTTACAGAGATTGATTGTTGTCCATGTGGTGTGTGTCCAGAGTGAGAATCTGTCAGTTTATGTTTGCAGAGGTTGACCTAGTGTGTGCTTGTGTAACCTGCCAGGTTTGCTGGAATTTCCTTTCCACTTTGCATCACACTATTTGTCCTCACCTCATTTTTTATTTTTTTTACAACCTTTTCTCTGTGTAACAGCATTCTCCAGTAACCAAGACATAAAATCAGACTGTTCATGGAGGAAACAAAAATGATTGTTTGCTTTCATTACAGCGGCTCAGTGCTGGTTTACATGATAGACACCACTACAGGGTCCATGCAGCTTTCCCACAAACTGGAGCTCACTCCGAAACACTTCCCAGGTAGCTCTAATATGCTTCCCATTTCTCTTTCTTCTCCCCTCTCCTATTTCTTGTGTCTCTCTGTGTCAAGCAGCTACACAAATTCCTTTTTGAGATAACTTGCATTCCTTCAGTTGTCCCTCTCTGGGGTCCACATGCCTGTGTTTCCCTTTAGTTCACATCTGTTTCAGTCAGACTCCTGTGATGAGTTAGCTCCCCCTAGTGGTGGAACTGATACATTGGCACATGATTTTAAAAAAATGGGTCCTTCTGTTTCCAGAGTATATGTAAATCTTAAAAAGTCTTTAAAAAAATGTTTATATCGAAATCATAAAATTAGTGAGCTAGTTACCATTAGTTATTTAAAAAGTCTGAGCTTGGTGCAACTTATTGAATGATTGTTCAAACAAGAGGTTGTGTGTGTGCAAAGCTGTTCAGCAAGAAAAGAAAGAAACTAAGTTGAATGGCTATTCCATGGATCAATTTCTGTTATCTCCACCAAGGTCGCTATGATATAATTTATGACATTAATATGACTTATTATCATGTAATTCTATGAAGTGCTGAAAGAATATATGTCATTAATTGTAAAATCATTTTTAAGCCCTACCATCACGGCTGGTTTATAACTTTACTTTAATGCTTTAGCCAAGAGGTTTGTGATAATATATTAAATTCTGTTTGGTATGTAGAAGCTCTTGAAGAAACCCTGAATTATCTGCCTTCCTTACACTTAAGATGTTGACACGCATCATAGACTTTCTTCACATAATGTTCATCTTCAATTCTCAGCGTGTGTGGGATATTCCAACAGGGATAATCTCAATCATTTATGTCTTAATTTCTCATCCCAAAAACAAAAACCAGTGTAAATGAAGCTGTGGTTTAAATCAAAAGGCTGTGCTGTAGAGAGAGCCATTATTCATGTGAAGAAAACTGTTTATTATGTAGTTAGCATGCAGCAGATTAGAAGGTAAAGGACTGCATTAAAAAAAAAACACTTTATGGAGCTGCTTCCAGAGTTGTTTCCAGAGTCACATTTTGTGTCAGCTTTTGCTCTAGTCTAGATTAAATAAAAAAAAAAAAAAAAGTCAAAAAATCTCCTGGTAGCTAACTGAGATGAGTGGTTTTGTTGTGATAAAAATGAGCATAGTATATATTGCTTTTCAGTATCAGTATCAGTGTCAGAATATACTTAAATATTTCTTTCAGCACCTTTTCCAAAAGCATTTAGTCAAAAAAACGTAACCATAAGCTTTGTGAACTCATCACTTCTCTGCATACTTTACCTGTTCAGACATCTACAACAAGACAGGCCCAGTCAAACTCATCCGTTGGTCACCTGACTTCAGCGTTGCCATGGTTACATGGGAGTGTGGGGGCCTATCGCTGTGGAGCGTCTTTGGAGCTCACCTCATCTGCACTCTGGGCGAGGACTTTGCGTAAGTATGCACGCACACACACGCACACACACACACACAAACAAACACGCATATTAAATCATACACACTTTTATAAATAAATCCAGATTTTTGTTCTAATGCTGTCCTTCCTGCATCCTCCCCTCAGGTATCGTTCTGATGGTACCAAGAAGGACCCAATTAAAATCAGCTCTATGGTGAGTGACTGTTATTGTTACTGCTCATTAGAGCGTAAAAAAAAACTGTTTATAGACATAAACAGGCCTAACAAAAACAATGCAAACTGTTTGTCATTGCGAGCAAAGCATGGCAAATAATGTGAGACGACTTCCAAGTGTATGTAAGGCTGAAAATGAATCTACATCAGGTGTCATGAATCAGGATGTTTCATGTTGCAGTAGCACTTTTACGAGCTTCCTCTTTTAAAGTGGCGTGGTAGTTTTTTCAGTTTGTTGTCACACACTGATTTGCTTTTCTGAACTTTTTGCAGCCAATGTTTGAGATTAATTCTAAAAAAAATATAGGAAGTTGTTGACAAAGAGTGTGACTGACATTGTGTTTAATTTATGTAGATATATGTCCATGTGTATGGTGAGGGGTGTTTGAGGGGCAAAAGTTTGGGAACAACAGGCTAAAAATGATCATTGGTGACATCACTGAGATTAGTTCCATATCAGACTGTGTACAGGCGATGGTATTTAATACCATTCTGCTTACTGACCACATTTTTCTTCCCAGAGCTGGGGAGCAGAGGGCTACCACCTGTGGGTGCTCCCTCACATACAGGAAAAGAAAAGGCAGACGGAGGAGGAGGAGGAGGAGGAGATGGACTCACCTCCTCAGCCCTCGCTTCAGGCAGGCATACTTCAGTTTCACTTCATCAAGTCTGCCCTCACAGTGAACCCCTGCACGGTGAGAGGAAGCACATCGTCAGCTCTGTGAATGACACACATCTTAAACCCCAAATGAATTAAACAACTCACTACTTTATTTGCTCCTCTCTCTCTCCGCTGTACAGAGTAACCAGGAGCAGGTGTTGCTCCATGGTGAAGACCGCCTCTACCTGACCTGTGGTGACCCCACACAGGTCAACAGCACCTCTGACACACACGCGCACACACATCTACACCCACGTGAGGGCAGCCCGATGCACCATCCCCCCAACCCAGACTCCTCTCTCTCTCAGGGACTCAGCACTTTACTGGGACACAAGCATTGGCACGTGGTCCAGGTAAAAGGACGTCACATCAGTTCGATTGAGATGTAGTCAGCAGATTCAGATGTCTTTGTATGTCCCTGTAAAACATGCACTTTCATCCTTGTAGATTAAGCAACAGAGGCTTTAAGGGCTGCAAAGAACACTTTTCATTATTGGTTAATGTACTACCGCCTATAGGGGCATTATAAAGGTCTCATTTGTCAATAAAACAAAGTCTAAAAAAATCAATCTTATATCAAATTATCAAAGGCTTGAATTACATATTATATAACCTGTAATCATTTACAAACTTCACAGTGTCTTTTTGCATTGCATCATATTAGATTAACGATTTGGATGTTTATAGCAGGACGTTTAAAGTGGCAGCAGCTCGTTGCTTCTCCCCTTTTGTCTGCGCTCATCCTGTATTAGATGAAGCTGGAGCTGAATAAAACTAAATCACTTTGGCAAAGAGGGCAACCTCATGTTCTGTGTACTATTTTCTGCATCATTGAAGACTATAATAAATAAAGATTATATCACAGTGATGCAGATAGATACACATTCATGCTGCCATGTTCCTTGTTCTGGCCTGTATCTGTAATCTGTATAGTGTTATATAGATATCTAGCGTACTTCAATTTTTGGATTTCTCATTTCATTTTGTTTGTTCCTTTAGATCCACAGCACATACCTAGAAAGCAACTGGCCTATACGGGTAAGTGTGGGGGAATTTGGCTAACCGGTCTCAATGTCTCTTACAAAAACCTGAATTGAACATCTTTAAAGCTCTCACTTAATTGTATCCAACTTCTTCTTAGGGTTCTAGCTTTGAAAGCGATGTCATGTATGGGACACGTTCAGTTGGCACCCGTTGCTTGAACAATCTCATAACAATTGTTAACATTTCAAGGCGCCTCGTGTTTTCTCAGACTCAGGCTGAGATATCACCGAGTGTACAGAGCAACGGTGTTTACAAAGCAACATGATTACGCTGAGTTCACAAGTGTGTGTAGATAAGCAGAAATATTACTGAACTAAGCGGTAGGACCCAGAAAAATAAAACCTGCCTTAAAGTGCAACCTCTGAAAGATGGCACAACAGACCTGTTATGATAATATTGTGATAATATTTGCTATGCCGATAGTCAATATAAATGCCTATAAAGCTTTAAGATTTTTTTTTTTTGTATTTAGTGTAAATACTTGATGTTTTGCCTTATGCATGTGTATTTGTGTGCAGTTTGCAGCCATAGACTCAGCAGGCCAGTGCATGGCTGTAGCAGGGAGGCGGGGCTTTGCACACTACTCCTTAGTCACAAGAAAATGGAAGCTGTTTGGAAATATTACGCAGGTATGTGAGATTGATAGAGATTTTTTGCTCATGGTAATTGTCTTCACTTGCACCTACTAATGTCTAACTGTCTCTCTCTCTCGCTCTCTCTCTCTCTCACTGTAGGAGCAGAACATGACAGTAACTGGAGGTCTGGCGTGGTGGAAAGACTTTGTAGTGGTGGCTTGTTACAATTTTACAGACCAGCAAGAGCAGGTGACACTGAAGCCACACTCACTCTGAACATGTTGTCATATAAATCTATCTGCTTCGTTCATGTTGTTAACTGTCCCTCTGTCCTCTCTGTGTTGACACCAGTTGAGACTCTATCAACGCTCGACCAACCTGGACAACGCCTTCGCATCCGTCACGAAGCTGCACTCAGACACTCTGCTGCTCAATGTCTTCAGAGACATGGTCATCCTGTTCAGAGCCGACTGCTCCATCTGCCTCTACAGCATCGAGAGGAGGAACGACAGGTATCTAAGCCTTAACGTCAGAAAAACTGACAATAATCTCTTCCAAAGGATAATCTGCCTGTTTTATTTACTTGATACATCTTCCCTTACATGTTTTTTTTTTTTTTGTCATGCCTTGTATGAAGTGTTAGATTACTTTTCCAATTTAAATCTTAATCCACTGTTTCTGCCATTTTTTTTTTACTTTATTTTTTACCCAAGTTCAGATTTACCAACATTCCTCACATCACAAATCCAAATTCTGAGAGCTCATAATCAATTCTATTTATCCAGAGATTACTGCACCTAGATTGGACACAGTTCTTCAGGGTCAGCACAGTGTTTTGTTTTTTTCACACACTCTTGAAACAGGGAAATCCTTGGCACCAGTAGTCATAATAGTGTTAGATCATATTGTTAGTGAGCCACAATTCCCTTGGGAAAGAGGCTTTATGTGGAAGCCTTGTAAAAACCTGTCACATGACGAATCTAGGGCTCAGCTTTAATTCTGGCTGATATAAGCATTTTATCATGGCCTTTAAACCTCCAAACTAGTTCAGAATGGTAACTGTTTTAGATCTGTCATGTTTTCCAGTCAAGAATATTATCTTAATGTATTTTAGAAATCTAAAGAAATACGTTACTATGCAGGATTGAGTTCTTTGACAACATTTTGAGAATTGACTTATTAAACATTCTGAGAAACCGGCATTCTGCTTAGCTGTCCAAATCTGTTGCTTCTAATTCTAAGAGCTGTTTTACACTGAACCTGTTCCTCTTAAGTCTTATTTATGTTTTAACCGAATTTCAATATCTTCTATCTGATGTTTCAGTCCCCACCCGACAGCCAGTGTGGAGTTGTTGCAGGAGGTGTCGATGTCTCGCTACATCCCTCACCCTGCCCTTGTGGTCTCCGTCACTCTCACCTCTGTACGCACAGAGACCGGGATCACATTGAAAGCGCCGCAGCAGGTAACAATGAAGCACATAAACCTACACGCTGTGAACTGTACTCTTATCTTTGGATGAAGGTGCATTCATCTTTTGTGCTCCTGTGCGTCCACATCTCAGGCCTGCATGGCAGAGAGCATCATGTTGAACCTGGCTGGCCAGTTGATCATGCTGCAGAGGGATCGTTCAGGACCGCAGGTACGAGACAAGGAGACGCCCGCCAACAACAAGAAGCTGGTGAGTCCAAAACAAAATCCTCAGATTTTAAGTCATTTAATTATAAACTGCTCACAAGAAAGTGTGTCAGACAACAATAATTACAATTGAAATGATGTACATTGCTTTGCACATGATTCTGTTCATCATAGTGTTGCAAGTAAACTCACACTTTAACAACCATGGATATGACGTTCACCTGTCATACTTTTCCTTTCTCCCTTAGCTGCCATTCAGTCCTCCGGTAGTACTTGCCCAGTGTGTGGAGAATGTGTGGACCACCTGTCGCTCCAACAGGAAGAAGCGCCACCTGCTGGAGGCCCTTTGGTTGTCATGTGGCGAGGCAGGCATGAAAGTCTGGCTGCCACTGTTTCCCAGAGACCACCGCAAGCCTCACACCTTCCTCTCCAGGCGCATCATGCTGCCTTTCCACATCAACATCTACCCTCTGGCCGTGCTGTTTGAGGACGCCCTCGTGCTCGGGGCGACTAATGAGACTGTGCTCTACGATGGGCTGCAGGGATCCTCCGAGCCACTGGAGGCGCTGTTCCCCTTCTGCACTGTAGAGAGGACCTCTCAGATCTACCTCCATCACATCCTGAGGCAGCTGCTGGTTCGCAACCTTGGTGAACAGGTACGTGGAGCCTCCTGAGTCCTTATACAAGCTTAATAGAGAAGTGCTGGTGATACTGGTGGAAAAAAACCAACCAAAAATACTGTTTCCTGCAGGCTTTGATGCTGGCTCAGTCGTGTGCCTCCCTCCCTTACTTCCCCCATGTCATGGAGCTCATGGTTCACGTCGTGCTGGAAGAAGAGGCTACGTCGCGGGAGCCCATCCCCGACCCTCTGCTGCCCACCGTGGCAAAGTTCATCACAGAATTCCCTCTCTTCCTCCGGACCATTGTCCACTGTGCCAGGAAGACCGAGTATGCCCTGTGGAACTACCTGTTCGCTGCTGTGGGAAACCCTAAAGATCTGTTTGAGGAGTGTCTCATGGCTCAAGACCTGGACACAGCAGCCTCCTATCTCATCATACTGCAGGTAGCCTATTCAGTTAGCAATCTATAGAGTAATGTACTAGTTTTGGCTCAGGGACAATTATCAAAAACTAGAATTTTCCAATTCAGATGTCATGATATAATAAAGTCTTTATGTCTTTATTTTTCTGGTATCTGTTTGTTCCCCTCCTCCCCATAAAGAACATGGAGGTTCCAGCAGTGAGCAGACAGCACGCCACTCTTCTCTTCAACACAGCGCTCGAGCAGGGCAAGTGGGACCTCTGCCGACACATGATCCGATTCCTCAAAGCCATTGGCTCTGGGGAGATGGAGACTCCGCCCCCAACACCCACCACTCAGGTAAATAACTTCAAATAATCTCTATACGGAATTTGTTTTTCCACTTTTGTTCGACTCCATCGAAGGACATCAGTCAAGAGAATGTCATAATGATGATGAATGATGCAATTTCAGTAATTTTGTATTTATACATCTGAGCTCAAATGCCATAACTACTTCTTATAATCATCACATGAAAATCCCTGCTATATGACTATACATATACATATATTAATTCCAAATGTGAATGTCATATTTTAGCTTTTAAGCACACGAGTATCATTTGTAAATTATGTCTGATAACATTTAACTGAGAGAAACCCATCGTCGGAGCTTGTCGACTTCTTCATGAAGTTAGCTGTTGTTGTTCATGCTAATCTGAAGCGCCATCTTTCTTTGTAACATCAACATCACATTTTAAAAAGTAAAATCAAATGTGTATCTTTATCTGCAGGAACCGAGTTCAACCGGAGGTTTTGAGTTCTTCAGAAATCGCAGCATCAGTTTGTCGCAGTCGGCCGACTCTGTCACTACAGGCAAGTTCAACCTGCAGAAGACTTTCAGTATGCCGACTGGACCCTCTGTTAAAGGGTATGTATGCATCCACTCTTAACACACACACTCTTGCTCATAGTGTATGGTAACAGATTGTGAGGTACCAGTATGTGTTTTGTTTGATAAACCTAAATATTTCCTCATTTTCTGACTCCCTCTCTGCTCCTCTACGGGTTCATTTTCTTTCAGTCGGGATGTGGAGTGTGCAGAGAACATGTACATTGACATGATGCTCTGGCGTCATGCTCGCCACCTCCTCGAGCAGGTACGCCTTCGCGACCTCGGGTGCTTCTCCGCACAGCTTGGTTTCGAACTCATCGGCTGGCTGTGTCGGGAACGGAACCGCGTGGCCCGCGTCGACGACTTTGTTTCGGCATTGAAGAGACTCCATAAAGACTTCCTCTGGCCCTTCCCTGTTAACCCCGCGGGAAGCCTCAGCTCACCCCTGAAGAACGGACGCTGTCGCACGGGTGAGTGGATCAAGATTAAGACAATACAGAAGCTGCTCTTTAAAAAAAAAAAATTTTTGTTCTGTTTTAAGCGTTTGCATTTTGTCATCGGCTCCATCTGGATCTTTCACGCTGTCTTTGTTGTTACTTTGAAGTTCTGAGCACACGGCTGTTGAAGTCGCAGTCAGCTGACAGCCTGCTGAACAGCGACATGGACACAGCACCCACACAGGCTGCTCCAACCAATCACACGTGGCTGGACGGGCTCGGCCAGAGACCCAAAGACATGGACACGGCCTCTTCCTCACACTCCAACCAACACTCACCACAGACACACGATGCGTTCCTGTCCCTGCTCACAAACAAAGGTAATCAGACTTCATTTTCCAACTATAAATACGTTTAAAGAAGACGTTCATCAGGTTTTTCTCTCTGTAACCCTCCTCAAAGTTATGTTAGATTGATTTCCCTCTGACTTATTCCACCTCACTTCTTTCCCCCTCTAGTGGAGGAGTACAGCGTCGGCTCGGCCACAGACCTGACAGAGACCAGCTCGGTGGTGGATGGCGATTGGACGATGGTGACGAGAACTCCTCCACTCTGAGCCTGAGTCAGGCCGAGCTTGAGCACATCTCCATGGAGCTTGCCAACAAAGGTCCTCACAAGTCACAGGTGCAGCTCAGGTGAGATCACTAAACCTCCCTCCCACGATTCCACTGCAGTCCTGCTCGATGATGTTTAATCAGCTTTAAAGTGAAACTAAAGCCGCTGTTTAAAAACCTGTGTGTTCCTTTCAGGTATCTCCTTCATGTGTTTATGGAGGCGGGCTGTTTGGAGTGGTGCGTTGTGATTGGTTTGATCCTGCGGGATGCAAACGTCATAAAGCAGGTGATCGGCTTCCTTGACAGCCCTGAGGTTCCCCAAGAAACTGTACAGAGTGTTCGACACGGCTTATTGGCTGTGGACACATGGGCCTCCACTGACTGGTGAGTATATCATTTGACCTGGACATCGTCCTCGTGTATTTCTTTCTCCTGCTTGTCTTTCAGTTATCTCAGTTGATAAGAGCAACAAACTCAAAATTAAGAAGATATTTTGTTAATTAGAGTTTGAAGTTTCTGTTCTTTATTGCCTGAGTTTCACTATTAAAAGATAGTCGGTCGCTTTTTATACAAAGTAATGACACATGGGACATTTCTGGGCGGGGAGCTGCTGTTTTCCCCCCCCCGCCAATGACAGCGTGCCCGGTGAGTTTAGGAGTGGCAACAATTCAGGAACTGGATGTGATTCAAAAAAATATGTCAAATGTGTACGTAACAGCAAAGAGAAGAAAGTATCATCATAATTAGGTGAATTGCCAGCAGATAGAGCTCGTTCCGAAACGAGGGTGAACCTCGTGCTCACTACTTCCTGCAGTGAGTGTGCGAACGCTGGTGGCAACGAGCCCAGGAGGAGGGGCCCAGTTTGAATGTTGTATTTACAAGCTGCAAAGTACAATGCTACTGACTCCAGCTTTAATTATAGTCCTTGTGTTTTATTTATATCCCTGTTGTTTATTTAACCTTTCTTCACGTTGTACCGGCTTGTAACATGTTATTGTTTATTGTATTTTTTTTTTTGTCTGCAAATTTTTTAATTTTTTAACATCTTTGAATTCAGATTAAATGTAAGGGGTTAATAGTTGAGGGATAGGTTTTGTGAGTGATAAAATGATTTGAATTTGTTATATTCCAGATATTTAAATGTATGTATCTTGTTTCTTTTTCCAGCCTGGGCTACAAACCGTTCCTGAACCTGATCCAGCCACAGCTGCAGGAGCTGATGGACTCAGCAGCAGGCGAGCCGGTGCAGCCCGAGGCCTTTCAGCCGAGCAGCCAGAGCTCCAAGCTCGGCTGCTCTGAAGTTCCGGGAGGTGCTGCGGCACCGCGGGCGGAGGACAGCAGAGGAGCAGTGTCTCAGCTTGGCTTGGCTCTGCCCTCCCTCGAGCCTGCGGGTGGTTTTTCTCGCCCCCCCTCTGAGGACTGTCCTCCTGAGCAGACAGAGGAGCAGGGAGAGGAGGAGGGAGCCTACGACTGCACCTTGTCCTGAAGCCAGGAGCCTCCTTTGGACTCTAACCTGTGAACCTTAGAGCCTCAGGAGGAGAGGAGAAAAACAGACTTTATTTTGTGTGGGTGTGTGCACAGAAAGTACCTCTCCTTGCGGGTCTTACTTCAGTCAGTATTATCCACTCTTCAAATGTGCCCTTTGTTTCGACTAAAACTCCTGTGGATACTTCGCTATAAACAGAGCGACACTACCTATCAGCAAAAAGACACCATCCCTCGATGAGAGACAACAACCAGTCTGATGGTTCCTTTCCAACAGTCCCAATTTTACCGAAATATGCCGACAAAACCACCCATGTCAGTCTGTGCGTATATATTGAGTTGTGGTGGTTTGGAAGCTGTAGAGCAGCACAAAAGGCACCAAGATCTTTTTTTTTCCAAGAAAGAATTTTTTTTGTGTGTGTAACATTTCTTTGGCACTCATTCGAATGCAACTGGAGACTTTGACCCGACAAAAAAAAACTATTTTCAGTTTTAAAAAAAAATCAGTTCAGAGGCTGTGTGTGTGTGTGTGTGTGTGTGTGTGTTGTGCTCGGTGTGTGAGTGTGCGCGTGTCTGTGTGAGATCATAGCCATCATGCTACATCCCCAGAACAAAGCTCTCTAGTCATGAACCAACAGTGTGTCCAAGTAAGTGTGCCGTGTGGAGAGTGGGTTTCATACTTTCATACCTCATATGATTTTAAAATATTTTGTGATACTTTTTTTCAAAAAAATGTAACATTGTACAAGAAAACCTTATTTTTCTATAAATACCACCTTGTCCCTGACAAAAACAATAAATCACTCATGGTATGAATTCTGTGTAATTCTCATGAAGCTATGACCTTAAGATTTCTAAGATAACGACCTCTGAGAAGAATCCACTGATGTGAGTGCAGGCCAGTTTCTTTACCACTGATTAGTCACTCATTAGTAACCTGATTAGTTATTAGTTGCTATGGTCCAGTCCCCTGAAGAGCAGATTAGTGTTGACCTGAGGTGAGCATGGTCAAGGCTGTAGTTAATGCAGGGAAGAGCTCAAACAGACGCTCAAACACACATTTGGGTTACAGTCTCCATGTTGGAGATTTAAAAAAAAAAAAATGTGTTGTGTATCATCATCAAGGCAGATTGTGTGATTAAATCCATCCTGTTATTTAGGTTGATCTTTTATTGTGGAACATCATTCATCCTTGGTGAGAAGTGATCAGTATCATTTCTCCCTCCTGATAAACCTAAACTCGAGGAGTCCTCTGATTGTGGTGTGATAATACATCAATACATGGAAAAAAACACTTGATTGCTGACATTGTGCTAGCTTTACATAGTTGTTAGTGTATCGGTGCATTTACAAGCATTCTCGCTGATGCAGCATTTGAGGCTGAATCGGAGGTTGATGCAGAAAACTGGTTTTGGTACCAGAACACCTCAACTCGTCAGGACTTTTAAGGTCACATGTCAGTCTTTGGTTGTGTAATATTATTCTCACAACTTAAGGACTTCTACTTTCGTCCAGATCAACAAACATATCACATCCCTGTACCGCTTGAGACGATGGTCGCTGTTTTTTTGTTTTTGTTTTTGTTTTTGTCACAAACATTTGTGTTTTTCTGTGTGGATTTCTGAGTGTGTGTATCACACTGTTGACATGCAGTTTGTTTTTAACGGTATTAGTCCTCATATTTACCGTTATTTATTGGCATTATAGCTGAGTGGTAATTAATGAATTGATGCTTAGTTTGTTTAAATAACTGATAACCCCCTCCCATTGAGTTAATCAAAGTCCTGCATTGGCTCTGTACCACAAGCACTAAACGGTTAATCACAGACAGTATTATAATGTGCAATGTATTCAAATGTTACTCAGCTTTATTTTTTTAATGTGCTTCACTTCCTGTCTTTTTTTTTTGCTCCCAGAGTTTTCTGCTTCTGCTTTTCATGATCGACCAAATAATTTCTATAGGTGAGGTTTTGCTGCGAGAGGACTTAGGTGTGTAGTTTCAGTTCAATTTAAATTTTTCAGAGATTTTTTTCGGTTTCTTTGAACACTTTATTCATCAAAAGGGCAAAATGACTATGAAGCACATTGTTGTTGCTTATGTAAACATGAATCCTGTCGCCCCCTTTTTGAACAAGCCTACCGCTCCACGATGTTGCTGCACTGTGAGCTTTACTTGAAAACAGTAACACGATGAACCAAAGACTTTACGTCCAGAGGCCTTCTGTTTTAACTGTTGGACTCATTATGCATAGGGGGCAAAAACACACAAAACCCTCCCTGAAACATAAACATGAATACTCTAAACTAATGCTGACAGCATACAAGACAGTTTCCTACGGAAATGAATATTACAGATCTTTTCTGAGCAGGTCGGTCGGGTGTTTCTGGTGGTACTCGGGTGTCCCGTTCACTCAGAGGTGGACGGCGCTCCCTCCCCTCCTCCTGTGTACAGTGTAAAAGTATTTCCTGTTTCCTGACTCAGAGTGAAGTTTCATTTCTGGGGCGAGAGCAGCAAACATCCTCAATGCAATGTAAAGATGCTCTCTTGTACATTTGCCTTTTCTATTCAGTTTTGGTTTTCTACTTCATTTTTTTCCTTGTACATACAGACCAATAAATTATTTTTAAAAATGGTTGACCTCATAAAGTACAGCTGAGTTCTTTGTTATCGTAAACTTACCTGTTTGTTTGTTTATGCGATAAAATGACATTGAATACAGGACAATACAACCAACTCAATCAAAGTAATAAGCTTTTTAATTTCTGTACAAGTGTTCATTAATTCAAGCCTTTTTTGCATAATGGAAAATAACGCTGTCCATGAAACAGATGGATACCCTGTAACCAGATCAATTCCAACCTCAACAGTCATATCGATCACTTCATCCCAATGGACAGATGGATATTATGCATTTTTTTTAGAAAGAGCTAAATCAGCAGACAAATTTAACTGTTACAGGTATTTAAAAAGTCAAAACAATCACAAAAAGGAGCAAAATGATACAACCGTATTTAACGCTCAGAACATTAACTGAACAGTACGGGAAATGGGCGTAGGTACAAAGTGAACATGTTGGACAAAGAAAACTGACAAAACTAAAACACATGACATCCTTTCACAGCAGGTGTTAAGACGTTTGAAAAAAGTGAAGATGAAGCTACGTCCAAGTGAGAGTTAACGCAGAGAAAAAAAAGAAGAATCTGTGCAGCACTTGTTCAGCCTCTCAGTCTTTACTGAGTGACATTAATACCATAGATTGTATTGAAAACAAAGTGTTACTGTGTAGGAATTTAGTTTCTATGTTAATAAGCTCTGTAGCAGCACTGGGTGTGCACTGCAGTCTTAACAGTGGGAGAACCACCAGAGACTGATGAGCAGTTTCACAGCGTTTGTGTCAAAAATCTCTCAAGTTAATCTCACACTGACAGCAGTCTCCTCTTTGCTCTTTATTAGAACCAGTTTGTGTCACCCCATGAAATGATATAACGAACAAAAGGGTCACATTTCTGCCACAACTTGAAATGATCTGACAGAAAAATTGACTTCACTGCTTTCAATCCATCGCTTCGCTGCAGATTTTCAGGAAAACATTGATTCACATGAATAAAGCTTTTGTCACTCAAAGACACTAAGGCTGCGTTCACACTGAAAGCCTTAATGCTCAATTCTGAATATTTGTTTTGCTTGGCTGTTCACGTTGCTTTTTAAATGTGGCCTGTTATCAGACTCCTGTGGGAAATCACAGCAGGCAGCATAAAAACAGATTCAGGCCACTTTTGCCTGCAGTGTGAACGCAGCCTTACTTTTGTAGAAAGCAACTTGAAATTCTCTAAGTCTCCCCAGAACAACACAGGACAAAAAAAAGCATTTTTTTTTTGTGTGACAAAGATAAGCACATTCATTGTTCAGAATTCAAGCACGTCTGAGACAGAAAAAAAAAACGTCAGTTCCTGCTCTGCTAAAAAAAAAACAAAAAAAAACCCTTTCCCCTCTGATGCATAACATGAAATAAAAGAGGAGTGAAAAAAAGAAACAGTCTGATCAGTTAGTGTTTCTGTTCTATTAGTAACAGCAGCAGCATGAATGCAGCATTTTATTACAGGACCATACTGGTGTTTTTCTCTCATAATGTTACAGCACATTTCCATTTTTTTCCCATCAGGCACTTGTTTTTTTTTTTTTTTTTCTGTCCATGAAACTGTAGACACCTAAATCAGGCCATCACAGTGAACAGTATGCCTGCTTGATCTATTGTTAAAGCTACAGGAGGGTTATATGATGTCTGTATGATATGAAATCAATAGCTACAACACACACAGGTATGGTCCTTTAATGTGAACTAAAAAAAAAAAATCATTCTCTTGATGAGTAATACAAATCCTCTGTGTTCTTTATCACCAATTTCCTCTTCTGATTTGATTGATTTAGTCCTCTAGTTTTTATAGCGTAATCCGACACAGCAGGGGTCTGAGACCTAGAGGTGAGCTAGCCTCTCTCACCATAAAGCTAATCTGCACTTTCAACTGCATCACACCAACAACCTCAGTATACGGAGTTGAAGAACATTTTTAGAAATGATAAAAAACTATTAAATCTGGATTTTTTTTTTTTTCAGTTTTAAATCTCAACATTGGTGGATATATCATTTTGATATAGGGCATATACATACGTCAATATAGGGGATATATTTCAAGTCCATATTGAAGACAAATCAAGTCAATAAAGAGGACGTACCAAGTCAATATAATATATCAAGTCAATATTTTGGATAAATTAACTCGGTAAAGGGGATATCACGACAAATTTGGGGATAAATCAAGTCATTATAATAGAGAATATCAAGTCAATGGCGATATATACCTTATATACCTTTTATAGGGGGTTGTTAATCAGTGAAATCTCCAGAATACCTACAGACTGTGCCTTGTAGTGAGATCGTTTTTGTACAGAAAAGCTTCACAAATGTATCATTACCTAGCTTCATAGCATGCTTGCTAATGGCATATTGGAACCTTATTAGGAATTATAAACTGCTTTGTTCTGCCCCGTTGTGCATGACCTTATTCTGAAATGCCTTGATATTAAACGATGTGATTAGTGATCATACTGTTCAAAAAAAAAAAACTGTGATGCTGATATGTGCCCTAAGAGTTGAGCTGTAACTTACAGGTCTTATGTCTTCCTGTGTTTGAAGCAAGTTGTATCTCCATGAAATAATGATTATGAAACAGCTCTAGTGCTTTGGTTTTTACTGCAAGATCTTCATCAACGACATTTTCCTCACTCTTCTTTCCTTCTGAAGCTTTCGAGCTGGTTAACCTTACAGCTGCCAAACAAAATGGACAACATTTCATCTGAATGTATCTGAATGCTTGCCGGTGTTATAAATACACAAGTATCCAGGACTCCATCGGTTAGGTTCAATCTTGGCATGCTGAGTATCAATGCATGGTTCTTCTAAATGAAACTACTCTCCGTTATTGATCCCTATTCAAGCATCTTTTGTGATGTGTTATCGCAGAAACAATACAATTACAGTTTGTTGTGCAACGCTGACTAGAAACACAAACTTGATGTGCTTTGCTCAGTATTGTGGTACTTCCCTGCTGATAAGGCCCATAGTGAGACTCATGTTAAGATCTTAACATACAAACAACTTTCTTACTCAACATTTAGACGCCGTAATTATCAGATTGTTATGGGGGGAAAACTTTTGGATAATGTCCTCGTAGATGGAGGATATATTGATGAGGGATAAGGCATTACTAAGTGCTTCATAATGACTCATATAAAGCCACTTGTATATGCTAGTTACAGTGTGGTTACTTGTGAATATGTACACCTTTGAATCCAGTGTTACTGTTTCTTCTTTATCACTCTATTATCTGGGTTATTAGTCCAGCTGATATTACTTTATATAAGCCTTCATTTTGTCAGTTTAGTCGCACTACATCGACAAAAGAAGGAGCACAGTGGAGAAATCTGTTCTAAATTCAAACATGTTGTTGAAGGCTGGGGATGGACAACGGATATTTCACACAGATAAAAACTGTACAGTGTAGCACCTGTTAGCTTTAAGACCACTGAGACATTAGTGACTGTCCACTTCAGTAAACATTTTTGTGCGTCTTTGGAAGCTGAACGTTAAGGCCTCCTTCATGTCAGCATTTCTTCATTTGTGTGACTTGGAGCCAAACAGGACAACATGCATCATCGTCACGACGACACATCACCACGTGCACACAAAGTAGACGGTGCTCAGTCGCACCACCCCCCCCCCCCTCCCCAAGTGCAAGCGATCTCCCAAGTTTCTAAAACCTGACTCAACTTGTGATTAGATACAGAGGGGAACCAACTGCAAACAAGCGACAAAGTGACATTTGATTTACAGATTTGATGGGATTGTTGGACTGAAGAGAGGGACTCTAAAGGGTTGATAACACAGCTGTGCCATTTATTTATCAACACAAAGCCTGTCTTTTGCAGATCAATCTATCAGCCTCCACTTTGTTAGCAGGAAACAGAGACAACCCAAAGACAGAGGAGGTGATGCTCCATGACTCGTCAAAAATAATCTCTTTCTTCAACATGAATGAGCTTTTATCTTTTCCAACAGCAAACTATGAAGCGTGTAGTATTTGTTTGGTGTCTGGGCACTTAGTTTTGATCACTGAGGAGGTAGTGGTGACACAAAAAAAAAAAAATACTTCCCCACATTCTTTCCAAATTGGACTTCTAGAACTTTCCAAAACATGACATGGCCCAGATTAGCACTTTGTTACTTTGCTACTTTTTCTAAACTTTAAATGATTGCTGTCACTTTTTAAACAATAAAGACAGTCAAACACTCGGCGTGGGAAGTACTGCGGTTCTAATATAACCCACGATGACTCTTTCATGGCGTTCTCTGAGGTGTACTATGTAAAGTGGAAACATCAAACAGGTCATATTAACGTCATTGTGTTTGTGATAATCGGGCTCAAGACCAGAAAAGGAAAAAAAAAGATGCAGCTCCACATGAGACAAGTGACATATAGGAAACTGTAGAAACACCACCCCCAAAAATGAAGTGTGAGTTCACAACAGCTCACACTGATTCATCTGCAGCAGCACCAGTTTAGAAGAAGCAGAGTAGGGAAAGGAGCCAGATGAAGTACAATCACTTTTAAACATCTGCATAAATATCCAAATGCAACTTTTATTTCCCTCCTTTCCTGGACAACAACGAAAAAAATATCTCATCATCAGGATGCATGAGGTTTTTAAGTTGGACTAAAATGTAGCTATTACAATATGGAGTTGGCTTTAGTGGGATTGAATTAGTTGGGGGATTGGAGCTTTTTCGAGACATAAAGTTTGTCCCTTCAGACCAACAGTCCAAACCTCTGCTGTCATTCCAACATAAAAGATGTAAACCATCAGATTTGAGCAGCTGGAACCGGCACACTGCTTAAAAAGTGACACCTCTTCTTTTAAAGGACAATCTGTTTTTCTTTATTTCAATCGACTTATTTAATGTTAAATTACTCCTTAAAGATCTTCTTCCCTTCATAACTAAACACCGTCCTTGATGCTGCTGGAGATAACCTTTAGCATTAAGAACAAGTACTGTCACAGTGGGAGTGAACGTTGTTGATGAGACAGAACATGCTGACTGATAATGATGCTGACAACGAATGTGGAGCTGCATTTCTGCTTTTCCACCCTGGAGTCCTCTACAGCAACAGAGCCGTATACTCCTGTGATTTTTGCGTCTCAGCCCAAAAATCAAAACTTTAAGTTTCCTTGAACATCTTAAAACCTCAAATAAGACCTCATAATCCCCCCCCACCAGGAACGTTACTGTAATTTAAAGGACCGATGACAAATGAAATGTGTCTGTTTCCATTTAACAGGCGAAGATTTCTGCATCTGTTTGCCAGATTCCCTGACATTAAAAGCAGATTGTTGGCATTCCTCCCTGAAACACAGGGTTATGACTCGCTGCAAATCAGTAGTGTCAGAAAGGAATGATAACTCTATTTCACAGTTAATTGATTAGTTATTCCAAAAACTGTTTGCTCATGGCATAAACAAGTGTATGTGTGTGTGTGTGTGTGTGTATGAAAAGCAACTTTAAGAGTGGCAAATTTTCCAGTTAAAGCCTGAAAAGGCAGAAAAGAAAAGCAGGGATTTTTCTCCCTTCCACCAGATACACATGTATATTACAGATAATGACACAGGGACTCTTGAGAACGGCTGCTCAAACATAGTTCGCATGAGAGGTAACCATGTGACCTCAGGAAGAGGGAGAGAGAACAGGAGGAAGAGAGCAAAGGGGCGAGAGTGAGATGGAGTGAGAAAAGCAAAGGCACAGCAGATTTTGTTTAAAAAAGAAAAAAAAAAAAAACCTTAACTCCTTCATTTCACTAACTCAGGATTGAGCACGAGGTTTGTGGCACCCGGAGCATCGGGTGGAGACTTTTTCAGTCTGTACTCTGTGTGATCAGCTTACCTCTGGCATGTCTTTCCCGCTTTGTTAGCCACTAAGCCTACTGACACAGTGATGGGGGTCTCTCAGGCAGGTTGGGAGGGAGCGTGAGTGTGTGAGAGAGTGTGTTTGTGTCAGAGTGAAAAGGCAGCAGGGTTTGTCCTCCTTGTAACTTTGTCTTCCTCAGGGTCCCCTGCAGCCCCTCTTCATTGTGTCCTCGTCGTCGTCCTCCTCGGTGACAGTCCTCAGTATCTGTACATGTCATAGGTACTGACCCAAGACGAAGGGAAAGTCCACGTGGGAAACCTGCGGAGGATTTCCTCAAGTTGAGCAGTCCTCTGGTCTTGTCCAAAGAAATAGTGGGAGGAAATGGCAACAGAGATCATCCCCTCAGGACCTGTCGGGTCGGGGTCCCTGGGAGGCTGATGGAGAAAGAAAAGCCATGAACATTAGCACAGGTAACCTAACAGGTAATTTTAAGAAAAATCACCTGTTTTTTTAGCTTGATGATGGAGCATATGTTTAGCTCATGCAGTACATTTCAACCGAGTCTTTAAAAAGGTCATAGAGTTTGTCTCAGCGCTTAATTTTATAAAGCAATTCTAATCTCCTCAACTGGAGTTCACATGACGGGGACACGGTCCAATTGTGTCCTGACTGGAGCTAATCTCCTACAGACTGAGGCCCTGGGCTGAAGTTTGGCACGAAACTCAAAATGTAAGGAATGAAAAGAATGATGTCAAAAAAAGGTTTTAATACAGGGATGGATTTCAGACTGCCAAAAGGTGCACCTGTAGCTGAGGACTGATCATAAAATGTGGGCAAGGAAATACATTCTTACAAGAATTATGATGCTGTGTTTGGAAATGTGCCTGTTCACCGTGTGGCCAAGAGTAAGTAGCCAAGATGAATACCCCTCAATTCTAAACTTGAAGTTGGAGTAAGGAAACGGTTAGCTAAATTTAGCCTATCTTAGCATAAAGAGTCGAAAACAGGAGTAAACAGCTAGCCTGGCTCTGTAAAAAAAAAAAGAGACGAACTCAAACTCCCAGCTCCTCTGTAGCTCATTAATATAGATTTTTACTTTAATGTGCACTGTTCCTTTAAATATACAGGGTATATTAAATTGTATAAATATATGAATGATATTTTACACGAAAAGGAGATTAAAATATAAACATTTGAAATGAAACTTTTTTTTCCGTCACACCAAAAAGTGATGCTTTCTCACCCAAACCAGAAGGCATCTTAAATAATTCACAACAAAACACATGTAAAAGACCGAAGTTATAAAATCTTAATATGTTCATGAAGTACAGGAAAGCTCTTCAGCTGAAAGGAGAAGTACCTGTATTTCAAACCAGAAGCTCCATGTAGGGGCATCGAGGCCGTGAGAATAGAAAACAAAATACTCTCCGCTCAGGTCGAACTGAGGCGTCCCGTCCCCTAAGGACCAAGTGGAGAGGCTGGCTCCTCGGTGAGGCATCAGGTACAGAGACATGTGGCTGGGGCCTGCATGGGACAGAGCAGGGGAAGACACACCTGTGTAAGGTAACATGCACACACACAAACACATCTAGGACATCCTATAGGTAATAACCCTGATTACTGATATAAACTATCAATAAAAGGTTTATAAAGAAAGGGGACTTTCTTCTTTCTGAGCTCATCCTGACAACGCGATAATAAACTTGGGATCCTGACCTCTCGCGCTGAAGGTCATCTTGATCGTCCCCCAGCTGGTCTCCTCTCTGGACAGCAGGCTGAACTCAATAGGAGAGCTGGGAGAAACTTCGGGAGCAGGAAGGTACCAGTTCTTCCTGCAAAATACACCAAAATACTTCAAGTATAATGTAGAAATCAACAAAGCGCATGAAAACACTGCTGTAAGCTGTACAGACGTGTTACTGACTTGCTGAGGAACTTGACAGGCAGAAACCAGGGGTAACCACAGAAGGGTCGGTCCTCTTGGCAGTGGGTGCGAACGCTGTCGTTGATCTCGGGGATGTGAGGTGTGATGTGCTGCATGGCTGTGTAGTCAAAACTGTTGATCCACAGACCTGAGTCCCGGCTCTCCACCTGGCCCTGAAGATTGTGAAAGGTCCGTGTCGTATGCTGCATTTTGGGCGGATAAAACAAACAAGTAAGATATCTTCTAAATCCAAAGCAGACTCGAAATGTGCAGGTTTACTTTTTAGAATGGTTGACTTGAATCTATGGACAAGAAAGATGAATCAAGATAAATGCATGTTTCTGCTGTTTGTGTGTTGTGACTTGAACCTGCAAGAAGACTCGTTTGGGCCGGGGGCTCTCTGGACTGCCTGAGTAAGGGAAAAGGAGGCCACTGGACACCAACAGAAACATGATGCTGAATATTGAGGCCAGACCAGTCAGGATCCACTTAGTGCTCCGTGCCAAGTAGATAAAATGCAGCTGAAAGAGAATAAAAATATAAGGTCTACACTGCAGTCTTTTTGGAGATCTTAACAAAGACATGAAACATGCTGATTTTTTATGTTATGGGAAATAAATAGTGTCAGTAAATATCATTAAACTGCTCAGAAAATATCACTGCCAGCATCTTAATTAAAGTTTGGTCATATTATTCTGTCCTACACACACACGTCACTATTAACACTTGAAAATCTCAACTTCAAACTGCTTCATTGTTGCACATGATAATGATCATACTCACAAAAAAGGAGGAGAGGAAAATGGTTGTAAGGGTGACCAAAGTGGCCAGCACCACCTCAGGAGGTATCTCTGTGCCGCTGCGGCCCATGATGGGTGTGAAAATCTCAAACACCACCCAGATGAGGAACATGAAGTGGACATACGGCAGAGTCAGACCAAGCAGATAGAGCACGCTGTACTTCAGTGATGCTCCTGCAGAAAGACAGATAGACAGAGAGAGAGAGAGAGAGAGAGAGAGAGGAGACTTTAAACTGAACCAGCAGAGGGTCAATCTATCTGCATGAATGGTAAAACAAAATATGCCACTATATTCCCTTTTTTTATTTGCTAATAAAAAAACATTTATTGTAAATCCAGCCTAGGTGGAATGTGTTACCTCTGTGTTTGAACTCTTTGGCCAGCAGCAGTCTGGTGGCCAGTGGAAAGGCCACCATTAGCATTGGCACGTAGGCTGAACACAGGCCTTGCTGGGTCAGCCACACCAGGCTGCAGCACCACAGTAGTATGCTCACGTCAAAGAAAAGATCGCCAAGCTCCACCAAACGGACTCCCTGCAACAACACAAAAAAACAACAACACACATTGCGTTACAAAGTTGGAGAAATTGACAGATACTGATCTTTATTTGGCTGCATAGCAGGTTGCTTTGGGAATCAGCAAGCTAACGTGAGGTTGCTAACACTTCTGCTCGTCAGAGGAGGAAGAAAATCACTAATCTTCTGAAATAATGACTGTATCAAGAAACATTTCCTTGTAATAATATTCATAATAAAAACGTGTAAATTCAGATCAAAATACTAAATGAAATATTGAGAGTAATACATTCTAGTGAACATGAAAAAGAAAATGCTAATCTTAAATTTGTTCACGATTTGGGATTAAGATTTGTTGACATACAGGAATGCTTTGTGTCTTTGAAATGTGTGGTGGCCAGTAATGTTCCTCCTCATACATCCAATAATATACCTCTGAAAAGCATCATCTTTGAAGAATAACACAAGAGGATGTTTCATAGGCTACTCTTCTTCATAATTTTCCCTCAAACATATTTAATCTGTCAACGCCTGCCAATAAGACAATAACTAATTTATGACTGATTCACTGGAGGAAAAAAAAAACTACAAAAGGAACAAAGAATTAGTGATATGAGATGGCACTTCCCAGTTCCTACAAAGGGGAACTTTTCCCCTTGGGTGTAACTTTATCCTGATATTTAAATGATTACCTGTTATATAACAACAAACCTGTGAACATGATTTGAATAGAAGCTTTATTACTGCGGGCAGCATCTACTAAGCTGACTTTTCTCATACGTTTCTGTAGCACGATTGAGAGGCTTGGTGGAAAATGTTTTGCTGTGGAACACAAAACTGCATGAGTACACAAGGCAGCACTTTTTGAAATAGAGGAACATCTAGATTACATTGCCTTTGGTTTGAATGATTTGTCAACCAGATGTTCTATAGAAACCCAAATAGCTTATTGCCTCACATAACTGCCAGGCAAATAAATCGTCTAATCGATGTGGGTCTGCAGCCACCCAGAGGTCATTGTCTCTGATTTAGACTATTTGCTTTGATGGTGACACATTCTGATAAAAAAAAAAAACAGGACAATGACTCCCAAACAAGTGGTGCTTGTATTTCAGGGGATAGGTGGGAAGATGGAGGGGAGTACATGGAAATAAAGTTGAGCAGCTAATGTGATATCAGAGAATTTATAGATTTAGGAAATATCCACATTTCTTTGTTTTTTGCATATTCCTTCATTTAATGATGCTACGAGGATGATATGTTATTTTTGTATGCTTTTGTGTATCTTTACGTTGGGTTATGAGTTTTGTTGTATGAGTTTGTTGTATATATTGTCATCAAAAATATGTAAATCGTGGGCGCAGATGGCCTAGCGGTTAGGTCGAGCATGTCAAAGGACATAGTTCTCAAAGTGGGCGGCCTGTGGCTCCTTTTCTATACACTGTTTGTTCTAAATGAAGTCAACAAAAATATTTTAAAAATTAGAATTAAAAAACAAATCCAAAGAAAGAAAATACCCACATAATGAGTATCCTGAACAATCCTGCAATGCAGTTTGTCAACAAAATAGAGAATAAGCAGAGATCTGAAACATTTGCTTCAAAACATAAAGATGTGAAGTAGTTCACTAAACTAATGAATATTTGTATTCTTTTTATTGAACCTTTATTTAACCAGGTTGTTCCCATTGAGATTAAAAACCTCTTTTTCAATGGAGACATAGACCACGAAGAAAAAGGAACACATAAGGAGCTTTGGCCAGTTAAATTTTTAGACGCATGACTTTAAATTTTATCGAACCGACCTTGACACTGAATCAACTATTTAATTAAATTCAAACGGTCAACACGACACCTAATATCAAATCTACTTATATATCAATTAAAACTCAGGCATTAACAATTTTAAATCATTTAAATTTGCACATCACGAGTGATTATCACGAGTGATGATGCTGATGAGGAAGTGTGGACAAGAAAATAGTCGGAAACCAAAATGCCATAACTATCAATGACCTGATGATATGTAGATATGTATGCAGGTCTCATTTTTTTTTTTTTTTTAAGGATGAAAAAAGTTCAGTTTGCTATGCTAAATGACATATTTAAGCTACCTTAATTTTCAAATACCATTTAAAGGCTGAGGATGAAGAGATGTTGTGCAAATTGAATAGTCTGTTTCATTAGGGATGAAAGCCTGAGGTTGTCTTGGAGAGATTAGTCTGAGTCCTTTCTGGAAAACGTCCATGAAAAGCTTCAGTTCATAAAGTGGTGAGCTCCTGATGAAAAAACTCTCTGACTAGAGGCTTGTATTTACTGAATGTCAGACATACATTACGTCAGCTGAACTCTAACTAGCTGCTCCTTAAATACACAACGTGAAGAGTTAATGAGAAAGCCTCGTGCAGCACAGACAGAGATGCTAACATTTGATAGCTGTAAAAGCATGAGATGCTTCCTTCTGCGCTGGCTTTCAACACCACATTGAGAAAAGGTCGATTGGCCTTAAGATTTGGTTAAGGAGAGTGACAGGTGACTGCTGGTGGGACAAGTTTATACTACTGTGAAGAAAGAGGAACTGTCAAGCTTTTAACTCACTGCTCTGTAGTCTAATGAATATCCAGCTAAAGTAAATAAACTGAGTTTAAATAGTTGGCTGAAGTTTAGTCTACAATGTGTACATTAGAAACACTAAGATGTAAAAAGAATACCTGTTAAACGAGAAGTATCTTTTAAGATATTCATCTTAGTCCAACTGGTTTATTCTTCAACAGAAAATATGTCAGCACTCATCCATAACATGGATTGTACTGAAGATTGTACTGAAGATTTAAAGAAGGCTGACCAGGGTTGGCCAGAGATCATCGTCGCCTCAAATGAACCTTGAAAAGGCATCTAAGGTATACATTTTCTAAAATGTTACTTTTTCAATTTTTTATTCTATTTTTACATTTGTATTTACTTATTTAATCCCAGGGTAAAATTCAGGTTTACTCACCGCTATTGGGAGACATGCTACTCACACACATATGCTTGATATACACACACCCACGCACACACACAAACAGGACCTATTGACATGCACAGAGAACTATTCAGGGTTGCTCAAGGACACCCTGGCAGTACTCAGGAAGTGACCTGGCGCCCTCTCTCTATCAGCACAATTTCTGTACTTTGGTCAGTACTTGGACTTGAAACCGGCAACTCCCCGGTTTTAAACCAACGTCTCTATGGACTGAGCTACTATCATCCCTTCTTAGCAATGAGTAACATTAGAATTGTTCCTTTTTTATATGCCACTCTCATAGAAAGCTGCAACCCAAAGATGATTGGGGGCACCGTCATCTTTATAGGTTGAAAAAGAAGGGGAAATTTGTAGGCTGAGACAGGCAAGGCGAAATGTAAACATTGATAACTCCACTTACTCCAAAGTACAAGTTCTTTGCCAGCGTATGAACAAGGACCATCTTGCCTGTGGCAGCAGACCCGTACAAGCAGATGGAAGCATAGAAGTGGGTGTACCAAAACATGGAGCGGCCCAACAGTGTGATGAGTAGAGCAACAATCAGCACGGAGAGCAGGGTGACAAACCAGCTCAGGACAGTTACACCTGTGGCACAGGCCAGGTCTCGGACATAGCGACCACCTGAGCGAGATTGAGACCAAAGGTTAGTGAAGCAACAAAAAAACCCTCATCCAGCTCTTTTAGAGACTGAACTGAGAGAACAAAATGTAAATCTTTACCATTAACTCAGTAATTTAATAACAATAAACAATAAACAAATTCAGGCCTAACACTGACCCCTGAGGGACTCCACAGTTAATATCCATGCATATTGATATTCACCTCTCTTTACAAAATGTTGCCTATTTTTTAAATATCTTCTCAACCAGGTTAGAACAGCCTTACCATACTTTCTAATTCATAGGGTAGAATATTATGATGGAAAACAACTTGATTATTCCCTTTTCAATGATATATTTTTTTAAACAATAGCATAAGTCACAAAAAGAAAAGCAAACATCCAAGAAAGGAAATGAAGACCTACCCCCATTGCCTGGAAGGGAGGCTTTCCTGGCCAGATAGAGGAAGGTGGCCATGGCCACCATGTAGTTCAGGATGGTGCCAACACGGGCCGGGTAAGCCACAACGATTACCCCTAATAGGTCGAAAAACACCATGTTGCCGTGGCGATACTCTGAGGAATCGGCCAACTTCTCTGACATTACCAGGTATCTCAGGACGGCCAGGATGTTGTCGCCTACAAACAGAAAAGGAGTCTTGAAGTGAACAGGGTTAGATACACAGTAACGCTCTGTCGCACACAGTTTGAGGAAAGGTTAATTTAAATTTAAGAACTTGAGGGGAGACTAAATGGATTTCTGCCTATTGTGGGTTAGTATTTGACTGAATGTGAAAGTGATGACATCACTCTCAAAAGTGAAACGGGATCATCCTTTAAGAAACTGACACATCACATGCAGTAGGCAGATTTTATTGATGACTCAGTATCACCTTCTGACCAGCAGGCTGCCCTGATGAAACAGCTTTTGTCATTTCCGTCACGCCAGGCAGACTGTATTTTTTCAGGAGCAAACCCCGAGCACATGAGTAGCATATAAATAATTGATACAAAAAATAAACAATGCATACAAGTAAATTAAGGTCTGGTTACTCTGTATCAAGCCTTACAACCGCTGCAGTTGGATAACCGTTTATTTTCAAAGGAAATTGAATCTAATTTCAACGACAACAACAGCTTATTAACAGTTATAAACAAATGATTGGAGGACAATTCTGTCAGAGGAAATGTGATTCACATGCCAAGTGCTAGTGTGCATGAGAAGTGCTAATGTGCATGAGAGAGTGTAGTAGTGCGCGTGTGCATGTGTGTGTGTGTGTGTGTGTGTGTGTGTGTGTGTGTGTGTGTGTGTGTGTGTGTGTGTGTGTGTGTGTGAGTGTGTGTGTGTGTGTGGGCAAGTCTGATTTATGGCCCTTTTGGTCTCTTGTGGTTATGAAACAGTTAAATGAAAGACAGTATTTAGGACAGGTAGAGGACTATCGATGTGGCAGTAAATGTAGATGAGAAATGAAGCTACATGAAGGTTCAGGAAGAGGCTGCTGTGTTAGCTGCTGCTGCCTGAGGTCGAGTTTCTTTATCTCTGCTGCCTGCATGTCTGCACAGTTAACAGCACACACACACACACACACACACACACACACACACACACACACACACACACACACACACACACACACACACACACACACACACACACACACACACACACACACACACACACACACACACACACACACACACACACACACACACACACACACACACACACACACACACACACACAGAAATGAGACAAAGCTCCATTGTTCCTCCGCCTGGTGGGCTCTTCGTGGCCTGAAAGTGTAAACAACTGAGTGTACAACATCTACTTGTTCGTGTTAGGGCTGCATTGTGATTAACCCACCCCTTTCATTTTTGCATTTCACTGTCAAAACACAAATTGTCCATTTAATGATAAAACATCCTATGTATTCATTACATTCCCCAGCATCATTTATACCAGTTACATTTTCATGATCCAGGCTAAAATTGATTTGACAAAAGCACATCAACTTCAGAGCAGTGCTAGCCTTCCACCTATATTCTAGTTTGTCCAACAGCAGAGCTGTGTTGCAGGAGATTTGAAAAGATGTGGGTTAAGCTAAAAAGCTACTGCGTTCATCAAAAGCATCAACGGAGAACAGTCACTGGTGTACCTTCCTCTTCAACTGCCCCTCTGCTATATCCACTCACGACCGTACAAAACTGTTCATAGCCACAGAGTAAAAATACCTCCTACCTCTTGCTATAATCTCACTCTCTCTCTCTAATAATTTATGCCTTTCACTGTGAGTTACTGTACACAGATGTAGAGGAGGGAGATTTCCAGAAGCTGCTGAGGGAGGGAAGAAAGATGCCAAATGTCAAAGGTTTTTACTGCTGACTGCCTGGATTCTCTGCTAAGTAAAGCAAAATAATTCCGCAACACAGATGCACGAGGTAATTGAGAGCCAGTGCTACTGTAAGCAGCATGCATTTGCGTCTGTCTATAGAAAACATTTGCCAACAGTGTTTTTCAGTCACAAAAAGCTATAGCTGCATTGGCCAACCTTTTCAAGAGACCAATGCACACGCCTGCTAAAAAAGCACTGAATATATATATTAGCTTCGAGTGTTACAGAAATGTTTAAAAGTTAAGGTATACACTTACCAGCTCTTTGTATTGAGTCTGTCAGGATCCTGTCAGCAGTGTCGTACTTGGTATGGTAGATGAAACCGTTTTCAATGAAAGCCAGATCAATCCCTGTAACGGAAAAAATTGACTTTTAAATAGAAGAAGGGAAAAACAGGGGAAAAGATGAAATTGTTTAAAAAAAAAAAAAAACACACAAACATGCAAATGAAATACAAATCATCAAATGAGAGTAAAATTGATCAAATTGGCAGGGCGAGAGACATGAAATAAAACCATCTTTACTGTGCAAATTTATCAACTCTGCTCCACACTTCTATCATAACATCTTATACTGTTTTAATTCTGTGAAGCGTTACCTGGGATGTTACCAAAGTCTCTGTAGATGCGGAAGTCAGTGTCAGAGGGGATGATGCCACTCTGGAAGACCTCCTGACCAACCACAGAGGCGAAGGGGTGTTTGGCTGCTTGTACGTAGGCCTGAACCAGCCACGGGTTCTCTGGACCTTCATGGGAACACGATTGTTATTCTACATGTTGGAAAGTTTCTCAATTTCAGAGGCTATCTTTACCACTGGCTGTGTGTGTTTGTTTTGTTTTAATGGATAGTATATACACTTTGGCCAGGGTAAGTGCACAAGATGAGGCCTGCATTGTTACAAGCACCTCAGGAGCCATAATAAAGGTTTGTAATCCATATACTGTAGATAAAGAATGGTGGCAGCGGGCCAGAGGGCAACCAGGACATTTACTGTTAATGCAAAACTAGAATTACACTCGACTTCTGTGTAATAGCAAAGGCAGAACTGCATTTATTTACAGGCTTTCCGTATAACAGGAAAAAGAGTTACTATAAGCATGGCTGCACACACAAACAAGAATGAGAAAGAACCTTCTCGCGATTTGCATCTTCTAGAAACCATCTGTCCAACAGAAATGGTAAAGTACCTGTCTGGAAAACAACCTCCTTGCCCCCAACACCTGCAGCCTCCAAGTTAATAAAAGCTCGCACCTGCTTGGCCCAGGGATGTTGGGTAATGAAACCGTGACTGGCCTGAGACAAAGATTTGGAGAGTAAAAAAAATAAGAAAATCAGGAAGAGAGAGGAAGCTTTTTAAATTGAAGACAAGCTGGTGAAACACCCAAAGTGTAAAACATGTGTCCCTGTCACTTTCACTTTACCTGCAGGATGTTTTCCTCTGCCCCATTGAAGAGGAAGATAACTCCATGACGAAGAGGAGTAGACTGGTTTGCCAGAGAATGGAGGACTTCCAGCATCACTGCACAGCTCACTGCATCATCACTGGCACCTAAAACAAGGAAACCAGTGTGTGTGTGTGTGTGTGTCAAAAACACTAAAAAGCTAAAACACTGTGTCTAAGGTACGCTTCTTCTTTTACATTCATATCAAGCAAAGGGAGCTTGGATTGGTCAGACGTTTACACACATGGTTATGCAAACGTTCACCCAGTTCACCCCAGCATCCTGACCCAGTCCCTCAGATTAAGATTTTGAAACCTTAATTTTAAAAACATTTCAGTCGAGAACTCTTGATTTCTTTATAATAACACAAACAAACCAGAGGGAGCAGAGTTGTCTGGATGAGTAAACAGTCAAGGAATGTGACAAGCTGGTTAAAAAAACCCAGTTCCCATCGGTTTTATGAGGGTGAGAACAAAAAGAGAAGGGTAACAGGGAGAATCAAAGGAATGACCATGTGACAGGAGCATGTGATGAAGAAAGATTACAGAAACTTAAGTGATGAGGAACATGACTTGCAGAGAAAAGGGAGAGAAATGCTAAAAAGATCAGAGGGCCAAAGTGAGACATCATGTGATCCGGCTTTCTGGATTGAATGATTTCGTGAGGTGGGGGTTGGAGCCCTGTTCTCTGTCTGTCAGGGTACCATTCATGCTTCTGTTGGTCTACTTGTGTGACCATCATTGTCCCAAAAACACAGTGTGAGAGTAAGGAGGACGGCAAATCATAGGCTGAATTGTTCACCTATGTGTTTCTTAGTTTTAAACAAAATGTACGCACTTGAACTTCAAGTTTCCATTTCTTTCTGTATCGGACTGTCTCTTTATTTTCTCGTTTTTCTAGTTTTTATCTTTCACATAAACAACTCTTTACAATTCCATGAAATCAAAGGCTTGGCAGGGAGTGGTGGACAGAGAAATGTATGTGTATCTTCCTGGTCCACACCTCTTTAGCTCAATTTCCTCTTGCCAGCTTCCCTGGTAAGAGGAAACAAATGCATGTGTATGGATGTGTTTGAAGTAGGGCTGTCAAACGTTACATTTTTTAATCGGGACTCATCGCTGAATTTCATTGTTCATTGCAATTTATCTCATTTTTCATGGCATGTTTGAAATGCCATTTTTTTGCACTTCAAAACTGTGTTTGTTATCCTTTATTTTAAATGTGTGTATTGTTTTGAGCTAATGGTACTTTACTTCCTGTTTGGATACAAACCTGCTTTTGTTCTAAAACAAAATTAAGAACTTCAGATAGATCTAAGGATATGACGTTAACTTTACAATGGAAAAGGGAACTTTTTAGGGGCGATAAAGTAAATGAAAACAGCTTAAAGGGAACTGTAAAAAAGTGAAAGGTTTGATATTACTTTTCTGTCATCTGAGCTGTTTTTTTTTTTAAGTGCGATGAGCCGTTCAGAGGCACAGCGGGGTCGTTCTCTTCCATTACTGTAAATACAGGTAGAGGCTATGGTGGCTTACGTATGGCGTGCCTTAAGGGACAAAATAGAATGCAGTTGAAAGAAATGAATGCAATAATTTTGCACCTTAATCACATTGTGATAAACGAGTTGTCAGATCTAGTTTGAAGGGAAAAAATAAGTCTCTCCGATGTGGAATAACACTATGAAATTCCTGACTTGAACAGAAGACTAAAGACAAAAACAGCCTGAGTACACACCACAATGTGCTCCTTATCATAAACAAACACCCTTATTACTGTGTGGTCCAGATATAAGCCACTGCTCAAAGCAGCTTCCTGTTAAAAGCACTAAATGGATATTTGTAACCATTAACAAGACGCCATTCAGCTCCAAATTGTCTGGATTTGCTTTCCATAGTGGTTTTATCTTCTCGCCATGTGATACACATGACTACATTGAACCAGACGAGAGACAAATAAGGGTTTTGTAAAACTCCAGAGGACTTTCATGCTGAAAAACCTGTGGCTCGATCTCCATAGAAAAGCCAGCTGCTCAGTCCCCACAGTCACACGGTAGCCAATCATCTCTTAACATCGCACTCGTATGGCAATACTTGAAATAGTTGTTGAGACATTTCATGCTGGACTAAACCTGCTCACTGACACTAATTACAGTATTCCAGTCTCAACATCGACCTGCTAGTTGATGGAAAGAAACCGGAAGGACACGCAGTTATATTATAGCAAGTTTGATCAGCGTTAGCTTGTTAAGCAGAGCGTGAAGCTATATACGGTCTCATCCCAAAGAAAGCTGCAGCCAAGTCGTTCTCCTTCAAAATAAAAGTTACGGTTTGTATTTTAAGGGGGAATTAAAATATGTGCTCTTTATTTTGCTCTTTTATTTGCAGTGACTAAAGAGATCGTAAACGAAGGTGTCGTTGAGCAAGAATACATTTTTATCTTACAGTATTTTTCGAAGGTAGCACAGAACATAACCTGTTTTTTTTCAGACGCACCTTGTTTGTCAATATTGATTTTAACAAGATGAGCCCTTAGGACAGTGAACTTGTTCAACTTGAAAGCAAGATATAGCTCAAATGCATTTTGAAAGTCTGACATCAGAATATATGAACAGGTAAAGGTTAAAAATTGGTTTGGCTCACGGCGGCTCATTTTTGTTTCTTTTGAGCTCATCTTGGCCTCACGTTGGATCAATCTAGAGCCACAGATGGAGACCATGGTGCCATTAAAAGCTCAGAAAAACATTGAAGTTATATATTCTTAATGTGTCAACACTCTGTTTTTGTGTTTTCAAAGAGGGGAATAGAGCGAACACCCCCTCTTTGACTATTTAAGTTATACCATTGATAACAACAAGCAATAGTTTTGCTCCATGGACTCTATGGAGATGTCCATAGAGTCTATGATTAAGCCACATTAGATGTATAGATGATACTCAGGGGTATTAGCAGCACATTTGAACAAATATAAAGAACTGATTGATCCAAAGTGTTTCATTTATTCAGGTTTGTATTTTAAGATTCGTTTCACTTTGAAATTAAGTTTGGTAAAGGTGAGAATGTTTTCTGTACGCTTGATCTAAAGCTCAGGCCATAAGCAGCAGGACAGATTCTTCAAGAGATAAAGAAACCTTTTCTTACCTGGACTGTTGGCCACTGTGTCAAAGTGGCAGTTGGCTAGCATGAGATGCTGCGCCCCGCCCTTCGGCTCCAGCCTGACAGCGATGTTTGAGACGCGGTCGTAGAAACTGGTGAAGCCTCCGAGGAAGTCGATGGAGAAAGAGCCTGTGGGGCGCTGCACCTCCACCGTGAGCTGATGGGGGCCCGCTGCCGTCTCCACGCGGATGTTATTGATCTGCTCCAACAGATAGTTCACCGTCAGGACTTCATTCTCCGGACTGCCCACAGGCCGAGGGCCGACACTGGTGATCTGCTCCAAGTGTTGTCTAGATTGTGAAGTGAGGAAAAGAGTCAAATACAACAGTGAGACTGCATGAGTAATTCATTCACTACAGCTCAATACGCGCCTGTATGACAGGAGAGCAAACCAGGTTCAAGTTTAGATAAAACAACAGACTGAGTGTGTCAAAAGAGTCTTCACCAGAAGATATATTACGACAGATTTTACATTTCTGTTGGATAATGAATGAATGGAGTGCTGACTTGATAGATATTTTGTATCAAACACTTTGTTTGAATAAGATTTAAAAGAGACCGTGTACATACAAGAGAATGCACAGTTTAATGAAATGCTTTTCAAAGGTTGCTCAAAAAGCATCCCTTCCACTTTATATATTGTAGGAGTCATTTCTGCTTTTAACCAACACAGAGGAGCTGAAATAATTCAATTTACCCGATGTTCCAGCAATGACTAGAAAATCAATTCAGTAATATTCAGTGAATGGATGTTTCATTGAAGTTATTTTCAAGCGAAGATTCCAGAGATTCCAGCTTCTGAAATTTGAAGATTTTAGCTTTTTTTTTGTTCTCTTAAATAAAAGGATGAGAATCTTTTTTGCTTTGGAGTGAATAAGCAAAAAATAGATACATAAATACATAAAGCTTTCCTGGAATATTAACTTCCATTCTGGGAGAGAGAATATGGAGCAACTTCATGATCAATGACCTGAGGTCTTGGAAGGTAGGAATATATGAACAAGAAAATGTTCATAATGACCTGGGATGGGAAGAGCTTTCCAAAGTGATCGCCCAACTAAAGAAACGGATAGATATAAACGTTCTGTTTTTTTGTTTTATCAATCCCCACAACATAACCTTTGTTTGTCATGTCTGCTGCATCCTGACTTTGGTCCACAGCCCTGACTTGGTCAGGTTATGTCCTTATTGCTGACCTGTACTTCCTTGTTGCTGCACAGATAAAACTCTTCTCAAAGATGGAAACAGGAAATGAAGCAAAGCAACCAATATGGGAGGAAAAAAAGCAAACAGATGCTCTCCCTCATCTTTCCTTTAAAAGGAGCGACTGCTAATGCTCTTTGCCGCAGTTGTCCAACAACCACCAATGTTACCTCCAGTGCCAGCCCCTCAGAGCTTCTGGCTCATAAATTAGATCTGTACTGGCAGGAAATGCATTCATAAAAGCCATGATTGTGACCAAAGAAGCTCAGAGCCTTAATCAGTACAAATGTACTATGCTTGACTCTCTTATCGAGAAACCAGCCAAATGATGGCAAATCCCATCGGCGAGCACTTTCAAGAGCTCAACCGCAGCCGTGCAGATCATAATCCGCATCTCTCCTTTACCCTTTGCTCCTTTAAAATCTGATAAAAGCTGTTGCACTGTGAAGCTCAGTAGATCATTTTATCTGAACATGTTGCAGCTTCTGCATATAATCAGTGTATATGAATCTGTCCAGTTTCCCTTTGTTGTTTATATTCACGTTCCCTTTAATATCATAAATAAGGCAAACAGGTTGCAATTACTATTTAAAAAAAAAAACAAGATTCTCTTTAATATTGTAGAGCTTTGAACGTCACACATCAGTTGATCTTCAAAAACTGTTTGTTAAACTGAGTTTTTCATCAAATAAAACAAGGTACAGATGGATGCTTGGACCAAACTTGTGTGTTTTCTTTATATAATGTATGAATCATTTAGACCAGGGGTGGGCAACTGGCGGCCCGCGGGGGCCACATGCGGCCCTCATCAACCCTCAATGTGGCCCTCAGGTCAATTTTTATACATCAAAACATGAAGAAAACATGAGAAAATCTGCCATGAAATCATGAAAACCAGAAATATGGCCATAATAATATTTGATCGCTGGTATTGAGTTCAATTTGAGACATAATTGACTGTTATCCTACAATTGTGGCCCCTCTGGCAGTGAGAATGAAATGAATGTGGCCCCTTGCTGTGACCAAAGTTGCCCATCCCAGATTTAAACTATCAAATAAAACTAAGTTAAGCTCTGACCTGTTTCTTGTATTATGACTTGACCTTTACCTCACGATTAGGATTACCTCTGCCTCTCTTCCTTGGAATTACTGTGTACCGACCTTGCCTAAATAAAATGACCTGAAACTCTCTGCCTTGTGTCCTGCAGTATTTGCATTTGGGTCCATTATCTGGTCCAGTGTGAGGAACAACAGATGAGCATGCAACACCTCTGCTTCAATTGAGTCTATACTGGATCTTAACAATTCCAGATTAGAAATTCTTAAAAAACTGATTTTGAGGCTACTTCCTGCTTAATCGTCCGTGCATCGTGTAGGTGACGTTACAACTGTTTGAAAACACCTGCCAGGTGAAGGTGGCGGAGGTGGAGGTAGAGGTGTGCTCACACCCGGTAGTGGTTTCTAGGCGGGTCTGTTGTCAAACTAGAGGAAAGGTTAGCTGCCAGCATCGCTCACCCCCGAGACCGGGAAGACAAAAAAAAGGTGAATATTACAAACTCACCTGGCTCTCAGTGCGTTGAACTCGCCGGTCGGCTTTCCGATGACGAGCTGCTGCAACGACAAATGAACGAGTCCCCACAGCACCAAAATAAACACAGAGACCAGGGAAGCTGCCAGTCCTTCCCGCAGCAAGTAGATGTTCACCTCGGGCTTCCTCTTCGGGTCACCGCTGTAGCCGTTATTCCCGCAACGGTCCCGGGAACCGTCGTTATCTTGCGCGGCGTAACTCTGCGTCCCGAAGGGTTTTATTCTCCGGAAAGTGGTGTCGCTCTCCATTTTTCAGCCAGCGGTACATCAGCTGCAAGCGTCGCTCTCAGGCGTCGCTTCTTTTTTTTTTTTTTTTTGCTTCTGGTGAGTCTACGGACGGATCGCGGTGAAGGACAAATCTCAGTGAGAGCGAGGGGCGGGCGTGCTGAAGCGTTTGGAAAATGTAAAGCAGAGGAGGAGCAGAGGAGGAGGAGGAGGAGGAGGAGGAGGAGGAGAGCAGCGCACATTGTTGGAAAAATACATTGAAATAATTAGCAGTAATGAACAGATATTGTTGACAATGTGGAGAAATAATCCCACAAATATGACGCAGGCCTATGCTCTTAACTCCCATGAGTTATTCGTGAACAATGAGGATCTCATGCAGTTATTTAAAGTCTATAATCTCATGTCAGTGGATTATAAGAATGTTTATGTCATTTTAGCATACAGCCTACATTTAGCGGCGATGCCATTCTCATTAAACCCTTCGCAATAAAGTCAGTGGCTTTTTTAAACAAATTAGCGACCTAGTCCTTTAACATGAACTCAATGACCCTCGATGAAATCCTGCAGAAAAGTCCTGCAGTGCAGTCAATCCTTAATTTCGGAGATTTAAGACAAACGAATGCAATTCTTACTCACGTAAAGGTCACGATGTCCTTGTGATACAAAAAGAACGTGCGTTCATAAACGTACTGGAGTGGAAATGTAAAGCATGACCAGCAAAATGAGCTTCATATTTAAGATATTAAGGGCTTGTTATTAAACCTTTATTGTGCGTTAAACCAATAATGAACGTAAATGCAGAGCAGACAGTGTTTGCTTTCACAGTGTATCATAAAAGCAAAGCACCATCACTGGAGCTATAGCTTGTTGGAGCCATTATACTGACTATACTGTGTTGAATAACTCATCTGAATCCTTGCAGTTTTCAAGTTTTTTTTTTTTTTTTTTGCCCAAGTTAACTATTTGTGTGAAAAAGGGGCAGAACCTCAGAACTAAAACATTTTTTATTATACTATTATTATTACTAGACTATTATTATTTTATTAATGGCTGATCTGCGATTTTTATGTTATTCGACCAAACATTTTATTAACACGATTTGACACTTTAGTAGCGACAATGCTTTTCTGCTGCTTTGGCGCCCCCGTGCGAACTCAATGGAAATAGCATGCAGATATTTCGACTGACATCACCCGACATCACCTTAGATGTGAACTTATTTGCATAGTGACTAAATTACAGCGATTACAATGAAAAAAGAGTTATTCAGATCGAGAAGAAAAAGCAGTGATAGGCTACTACACTTTATGTTGCAAACGGAAGTCACACTTTATAAAATATAACTTTTCAATTAAACAATACAATTTATGCATAACAATGTATCCAAAGAATCAAAAACAATGACTATGTTTGCCAATTTGCAAAATGGCAACTTTGAGTCCTAGGCTTAAATTATTTTTTTATTTTTTTTTGATGCATAGTCTACATTTTAATGCGGTTGATGAATGAAAGCAAAGTTTGAATGTTTTATGTGGATGTGTTAAACTGCGCATCATATAGGCTACACAAACTGATTTGCTCTTCTCTATGATGATTATTAACAATAAAATAAATTAACAAAAAATTATTAAAGCTGAAGTAATTATTATTTTTTATTGAAGTGTAACAGTAGGCCTCCCTCAAAACTGCTTCCTACGTAGTAAAGAAATGAAGGTAGGCCCCTCACCACCACCACTTATCCAAACAGTCTACCTTCACCAATTCACTAATTAACAAACTTTCTGTCTTACTTTTGCAACAATGTGACCAAATGAGATGGTTTCTGATGACTTTTGTATTCAAACAATCCTTGACAAATATTACACTTTCGGTGTCTTTGTCAAACAGTTATCCGTCCTTGGTATTTTTCCATTACACACCCCATGTAAACACATAGCTGCTAGATTAATAGCGGCTAACTCAGTGTTTCAGGCTCATCACCGACCTGCAGGCTAGTGGAAAGAAACAGGAAGGACACGCAGTTATATTTGACATTTAATTGCAATATTCACATACATCAGTTACTGCGCGTAATAAATGATGTGGATTTTGTTGCTGCTTTAACTACGGTCACAGGTCAGGGACAGGTAATAATCCTAGGTCAAATATCAGTCATGGTCTTGATTCTTTACTAGCATCTTTAGCGTTTAGCAAGTTTGATCAGCGTTAGCTTGTTAGCAGAGCGTGAAGCTACATACAGTCTCATCCCAAAGAAAGCTGCTGCCAAGTCGTTCTCCTTCAAAATAAAAGAGGCTGAATTAGAATATTTGTTCTTTATTTGGCTATTATTTTGTCACGAAGGTGATCAAAATATGTGGTGCTGTGTGTTAAGTAAAAAATACATTTTTATCTTACATTACTTTTAGAAGGTAGCACAGAACGTAAGATGTTTTTTTTCAGACTCACCTTTTTTTGTCAATATTGATTTTAACAAGATGAACCCTTAGGACAGTCAACTTGTTCAACTTGAATGCAAGCTATAGCTCAAATGCATTTTGAAAGTCTGATATCTTGTTACAAAAAATCAGATTGAAAATAATTTAGCATTTCATATGAATAGGGAAAGGTTAAAAAAAAAAAAATGGTATGTCTCATGGTTGCTCGCTATTTTTGTTTCTTTTGACCTCATCTTGACCTTTGGAGCAATCTAGAGCCACAGAAGGAGACCGTGGTGCCATTAAAGTTATATATTCTTAATGTGTCAACACTTTTGTTGTTTCAAAGAGGGAAATTGAGCGCACACCCCCTCTTATTACTGATTAACGTTATATACCATTGATAACAACAAACACTTGTTTTGTGCCATGGACATTAGGGCATCTATTTAAAAAAAAAACAGCTCTATTTATTCATTTAATTTCATCACTATTATTTCTCTAATTAATTTCTTTTTTTTCCTTCTTTCCTTCTGTTTATTTTATCTGACTCTTTTTACATTTTTATTCTTTTATATATATGACTTTACATTTAGTCTGTTTGCATATCTATGTGATTAATGTTAATAACAATAATGCAATATTTCTCGTGTAACACCTGAACATGAGGGAGCACTCGGTGGTGGGAGGGCTGGGATGGGAGGGAAGGTGTTCAAGTATACTTTAGACAATATAATAATAATAATAATAATAATACATTTTATTTAGAAGCGCTTTTAAAAACTCAAAGACACTTTACAATAGTTAAAACATAAAGAACAGCACAGTAAGGACAGACTAACGGACATTGCAGCATTACACACAAATCATAACGATAACAACAATAAAGATAACAACAATAAACTACAGAAAACAGAAAATACATCACAATCATACATTAAAAGCTTGATACATTACCCCCCCCCCCCCCCAGGTTCGGTGCTTGGTTCTAAGAGGGGGAGATGAGATGAGATGAGATGAGATTCAACTTTATTGTCATTACACATATACAAGTATAGAGTAACGAAATGAGGTTTGGCATCTCACCAGAAGTGCAAATAAGCAGAAAGTGCAAGAATCTGTGCTATGTACAGTAATTACTAAATGTACAGATGTAGACTAAAAAAAGTGAATTATTAGGTATATATGGATGGATTAATGGGATGCCATAAATATAAATAAATGCTATAAATATAAGTGTATTGATGCTATAAATATAAGTGTTTTGATGCTATAAATATAAGTGTATTTAAGGATATCCATTCCATTGTGCTAAATATGTGCAAATGTATATTTGCAGTGTATGTTGCAAACAAATGTACATCGATGTTCCTAATTGAAAACCCAATAAAATCTGTTAAAAAAAAAAAAGCTCTATAGATAATAAGGATTTAAAAGGTGATTTTTATTTTTAAAACTTTTTTTTTTTCAACTTTTTATTCCATGTGCTATCTTTACTTATTGATTTGCGACAATTCACCCCCCCCTAAAAAAAAAAAACTCTTATTTTGAAAAAGTCAGGAAAAAAAGTAGAACGGAAATGTAAGCGATTTTGTTTTTGGGTGACTTGACTCTTTGTCTTTACTCGCAGCTCCAGAGTCTCCGACCGACCACTACCCAGCAGAGCACAGCAGAGAGCAGTCGGCCCGTCGTGTCTCTACCCGAGGCCGGATGGTAAAATCCAACCTCCAGCGGATCCTAAACAGTCATTGCTTTGCTCGCGAGAAAGAAGGAAAACAACTGTCCATCACTAACATGGCTGACCTGAGTAGTGGTATCTGTGACATGATTGGGAAGTAAGTAAAAGATGGGGAAAAAAAAAAATACCATACCTAGCTAACCGCTAACCTGGTGTGGGGGAAGGGTGGCTAAGCTAGCTTTTTTCCGAGCAGCTAAGCCACAGTAACGCGGAAGTGAAACAGTTTTAAATGTCCCTGTTTACATCGAATACGCGGTGCCACCAACGCCACAGTTAGAGCTACATTATATATATGAAACCCTTTCTTACATTTATGTGTTTAGAATAATGTTACACTTTTATTAACCTCGGTCAGCGGTCGGATAAGTTTGTTAGTTTTTAGCTTTAAAACGTCGTCGAGCTTGTGTGACGTCATTGTATTTAGATGATCATTTTAGTGAAGTAGATGGCTTCAGTGGCATTTGTTGTAATTTATATTAAAATCACTGAAGGGGATGTACACGTTATTGCTCAGTGTTTCTTGTCTGATTAAAGAGCAAACAAACCTCATTTTAATGTGAACATTAATTAATTCTTAACATGTTAAATCTCGTTTCTTCTCGCCGAGAAATTCAAATTTGTCCCGATACCAGTCAAGCAGTAATGGGGGGGGGTTAATCCTTTATCTCACTTAATACCTATCATAAACGACTCTCGGATCAAACGTGTGCCAATAAAATCCTCCAGGTGAAGCACATGTTTGTGGCCACGTTGGTCTCGTGAGCTGACAACGGGAGTCGTGTTGATTACGTAACTGACCGTAAAAACGATGCTGCAGCAGCTCTGTGACTGCACGACGGGGTCACGTCGCTTCATCATTCAAAGATGTTCATGTTGGAAAGGGGGTTGGGACATGCGACGTGTGATGTGATTTGACGCAGGAGTCATTAAAATGTGTCATGGAGTCAAACTTCGTCAGGGTTCCTTTACCTGGCGTCGTGACCGTGAGCCATGAGCTTCCCCCCCCCTCAAAACACATACACCGTATTTGACTCACAATCTAATACTAAATACTGTTACTGAAACAAATATAAATCTTGGTATTTTATGTTGTGACATAATATTTATATATATATCTTTTTTTTTTTAAAGTGATCATCTTGTCTATTTTTCACCTGGGTTTGATGTTCCTCTCTGACAAAACAACTGGCCCCTCGTTTGGCCCCCCTCAGTAAAAGTGGTCTAGAACTACCACTGGGCGTGACAGCTATTCTAACACTGCTGTATTGTTGTGTACAACCCAGAACAGAAAGGATAAGACTATTTGTTCATTTAACACCAAAAGAAAAACGATCAGAAAACATGATTATCCCTTCATTGATATTTAATATTTTTACATTGTGTATTAATCACAATGTAAGCTGATAGGAGTCAAATGGATATTTTCACATTTTCAGACTTCATACTAACATTTTTATAAATTTTTTTTTTATGTAATCTGACTTGAGATTTTTTAATTTCATTGCTTTATTGGTCTTTCCAAGTGGCTAGAGGTTAGAGGAAGACCACTTCCTCTAATTGTCTAGATTAGTGTCTGTGATTAGCTGCTTACTGTTTTCTTGTCTTAAAGTGGAGTAACATTTGTAGTTCTGTGACGTCCTCTGAGCCTTCAGGATGCTGAAATGGTTATTTTACACTTAATTGAAACCTGAAATATATAATATATTGAATTGAGAAGAAATGAAAGGATTGGTGAAGATGTGCTGCTGGTACCCTTTTTTTTTTTTAAATGTGTGATGAAGAGATGTAATATGTTACCCAACAGCTTTGTCAACAATAGCCAAACAACAAGTTTGTTTATTTGGACATTTGATTAATATTGTGGGGGGTCTGATGGGTTTAAGAATATCATTTTGAGTATATATCATGCCACGTTCCTTCTGTAGAATTACAGAAACACTTTAGAGTGCTTGTGATGTTTTTGTTACAGTGTTGTGATTCTGCCCTCTTTTTCCCCCCCCCTCCAGTTTGTCCCTGCACTGTAGTAGTACCCGCAGTCCGGGGCCTCTGTGGTGCTCCTGATGCCCCTCTCCCACCCCTGAAGATCCCAGGTGGGCGAGGGAATGGCACGCGGGATCACACTCCTTCAGCTCGGCAACTCTACTCAGTAAGTGTAGAAACGCTGGTCTGCTTTCTTATTGTCTAAATGGATTCAGAGTAGTTGTGTTTTATCGTTTGCCCTTCAAAGCAGCTCCTTTGCTGAATCCATTTCCTGTCACGTGACCTGGCGTCAGTTTTTTTTGCACAATACACAAGGGTTTCACTTGATTTAGTCAGCCATTAAGTCATTAGGCTCATGTTTTAGCTGTTGTTGGGATTACTGTTTTATTCTAGATAAAAGGAAACCTATTTAAACATTTACAGTTGTGTAACTAGGATTTATGTTTCCAGGACCGAAAGTTGACTGTAACAGAGGAGCCAGCGGGGAACGGTCGCCCTTGGATACTCCACTTCCAAAGTTGCCTACCGTTACCAAGACGATACAGTGGGATGCTGTCCTGAGCAGCAGCGCACTTTACGTGGAGATACCTCTTGACCCCCTTCCTGAAGGCAGCAAGGAGAGGTGAGGCCAGATTGTTTGGAAAGATCTCAAGTGGAAAAAAGGGTTCGGTGTTTAAATTGGCAGACCTGAATGGGGTTAGTGTAAAACGGTATTTATAAGTTAAATATAACAAGTAACTGTTTGTAAAAGTTGGCATGAACAATGTTTTGTCAGCAGAGAAGGTCATTAGACTCTGGCAACCTTTTTACACCGATGCTGTGTTGACGTTTTTAGCCTTAAAAATCCAGATCTGCTTATTCTGAAACATCTGAGGGGGGCAAAGAAGATTGTTTTTAAATAACCTGTATCAAAACTTGCGTGAGATTTGTAGTGCGTTGCATTTGTTCCTGTGTGTTTACTTGAGCCACCCCTCCTGTTCTCCTTCCAGTTTTGCAGCTCTCTTGGAATATGCTGAAGAACATCTGAAAGTCGTTAGCGTGTTTGTCTGCTTTTACAAGAACAGAGACGATCGTGGTATGTGCGCACACCGCTGTTTGTCCAAGCACATCTTTCCAACTTTTGATTACATAAAAATGTTAAGCTTCTGTGTACTGACTTCCTCTCTTTTCCTTCCTTATTCTTCTAGCTAAACTGGTGCGTACATTCAGTTTCCTGGGCTTTGAGATTGTGAAACCGGGCCATACCCTCGTCCCACCTCGACCCGACGTTTTCTTTATGGCCTACAATTTTGACAGGGACTCCTCGGACGAGGAGTAGCCCTTGGATAGCCCCTCCCACCCCCCTTTTCCCTTCCCGTTCTGTTTGTTGATCCCGTCCCAGCTTACAAATACACACCTCTGTCTGTGTTCCACTTTTCCCTCTGTATGCAGATATTTATTTCCTCATGCATTTTGAAGGGAATATGTAAGTTGTGCGTTTCCTTTTTCCACCATCTATATTTCTGTGTTTATCAAACTGTTTTCAAGGAAGATTAAATCATGCTGTCACCTACAAAGAGGGAAAGATTTGTTCTTTAAAATTACAATCATTTTGCAGTTGTCATGGTTATAAGTTAAGTTCTCATTTCCATTCTAAAGTCTGTTTTAATGACATTTCCTTTCATGGTAGATTATGGTTGAGGATATTTTATTTCTTGAATGTACAACAAAAAGGTCATCAGGTTTACACTCGGGTACTCCAGCTTTCTCTTCATTGGCAAAGTAATGACTTAAAATTCGTCCCATGTTTTCTTTCTCCCTGAATCAAATAAAAAATGCATTTCAGTGGGACCAGCTTTATTTTGTAGCACTAATAATCTATTTAAAGTTTTAGGAATTTTTAAGGTTACTCCAATATTTGGTACTTCATAGCTGAATAGTGAATCCTTTTAGAGTAGCGGATGCAGCTGCATGTGTCTGATAGACGCTTCAGTCTCAGTTAAAGATCCTATGACGATCAAATCGGTACAAAGTGAAAGGAAAGTTATTGATCCAAAGTGCTTTTGCTTTTTATTTTTTTTTCCTGCCATGTATATCGGACAATATAGTCGGAGTTTGATTTGGAAGTTGATGAAAAATGCTGTGATTGGATTTTTTGTCTGTTCTGTTTTATTTGTTTGGATTAGCATTCCTTTTAAACGTTGATTGAGGATAGTATTACGTTTTGTTGTTCACCTGCATAGTGGTACATGTTGTGCTTCTGTGATAATAAAACAAATAAAATAAAACTTTAGTATTTGTTTTATTCATCAATGAATGGTTAAACTTCAAAATGTTTTTGTCCAATTAGAAGAATGTGCTGGCTTTTGTTTTTAACATGAATTCATAAATAGTAATATACAGAAGAGAAATTAATAACATGAAAAGACTTGTTTTAACTGTCAAATTTTTATTTTATTTTTGATGATATTTTCTGTCTTCAATCACATTGACTGTTAGTTCCAATCCATGCGGACTGATCCAGTACAACAGCAGTCCCTCTTGTACAGTAACTATGAAGCTGTAAAGTAAGCTGTACTGCTCAGACCAGAAACAAAAGAAAATCAGGTCAGTTACCAAAGAGCGGTCAGGCAAACGTCCAGAGCATGTCCTGTCATCCTACCACCTACCACTAGGAGGCTCTACTGAACAATATATGACCATTCAACAGCTCAGTTTGAAGTTTCATCTTTAAGCAATCGAGTGTTGATAAACTGCAGAAAGAAGTGAGGTGGCCAAATCTCATATTTATATTTTCCAACATGTTTAAAAGGCTGTTGCTGTTTGATTGTAAAAGTGTAGGATCTTCAAACTGAAACTTTATTTACCCACAATTTATCATCACAAGCTTTAGTTCCTGTTGTTTAGGGACACATTGAAGTCTTCTGCAGACAAGTTGTGATTTAAATGGTTCCCACTACTTACTAATTAGGAATAAAAGTGATGAAGTTAAAAAAAAAAAAAGACATTAAAGGTCACATAATATTCTCCTCAGAGATCCCCAAAACATGTCTGGGAAGTTTCTTGTTATAAATCCACTCTGATCCTGTATTTTATCCGACCTACTGTATAAACCCCTTTATTTCAGTCCTGCTCAGAACAGGACGTTTCTGTGTTTCTAAGGCATCGCAGTCGTACGTCTCAACCAACCCTTTGAAGTTGTATTCTTTTCTGTCATCATTTATCACTTGGGAATGGTGTTGTTCTCTTTGATGTTTAACAAAGTAAATATAAACCAAATGTGATTCAATTACCTCCAGGTCAAAAAGTGTTTTCTATGGAGCCCCTGAAGTGCCAAAAAAATATATATATATATATTATGAATACAATATAATTAACTTGTGCGCACACATTTTTTTTGGGGGGGGGACTTCAGGGACTCCATAGTTTCCCCCAGACATTAGGAATTCAAACTGATTGCACTTTGACCTTTAAAAAAAAAAAAAATGTAATTAGTTCGTCATTAACTTATACATACCGGTAAGTAATGGCTAAAACTGTTCTTTGATAGGTCATGGTGACCTTGGCCACCCAAATCAAATCAGTTAAACCTTTGTAATCCAGGTGAACATTTGTGCCACATTTTAAGACATTTTCTCGAGGCGTTCCTGAAATGCTGTCTTCACAAGAATGAAATTGAAGCACAGATTAACAACCCATTAGGACAATGCCTCCGCCTAGGCAGACATAAAATTACTTACCATCAATAGTACAAGATCAATTAGAATAAAGTATCGCTGATACCTTTTTGGTGAGGAAAAAAAACATTTCTCTTTGGTGATTCTAACATGGGAAATCACGAGTTAGTCTGAGTGATTATCATCACTGTAGATACATTTGGGAACAAAGTTGGAAAAAGTGTGACCAGTGACCACTCAAGATATCATTTCATGGTGCTTGAATTAGTGTAACTCACTTTAATCTAGCAAATGTTTGTCACTAATGCAATCATTATACATGAGCCTCATGAAATATTTCAAATACAGGACAAAGAGAGAAGCCTTTTTTTTTTTTTCTTGAATCCAAATATTTAATAGGTACATATCAAGTATTATTATGACATGTATAAAATTTCAGATCACAATATGAAGCAATGACACTCCTCAGACTGGCATATGCTGCAAATGTTTGAGGGTGTGCCACATAAAAATGACTAATGATTAAAATAGAAGAGAAGCAACTAAAATGGTAGAAAAATGGTGTATGAACATAGATAGTAGTAAGCATACTAGAGAAAATTAAATGCGACTTTTCAAACTTTTTTCTTCAGTAAGAGTGCAATAAAAGTAAAAAAAAAAAAAAAACAACAAAAAAAAACAACATAGCACTGAAGCCAAGCGTCCACAAGACGTCTAAAAAGGTGTTAGTACTGTAGGTTCAGGGAGGGCGGGAGACAGCGCAGAGAGAGAGAGAAAGAGAGAGAGAGAGAGAGAGAAAGAGAGAGAGAGGAGAGGGTCACAGCAGAGAAAGAAACCAGAGCTATTAGCTTGCCAGTCAATGCAGGCATTGAGCAACAGTGGAAGGAATGCACATCACAGTTAGCTTTAAAGACCATAGTAGCATTTGTACTTTGCATGTTGTAGAGTGAGGAATAAAAATAAACAAAACCTGAATGATTGAGCAGAAACAAGGACATCACCACAAACAAACAAACAGCCGGCCAATGAGAGGGGAGGAAGTGTGTGTATCACTGAATGTCAACTGAGCAGTAAGAAAGGGATGTGTACTGCAGCGTGTTACCTCAGATCAGTTCTAAACGAAGCACGGCTACTCCTCGAAGACTGATGCAGGTGAACGCTTTAACGCCAATGAACGAGAGGAGGCACTACATTTCCCCACAAACCACCTCAAGAGTTAGAACTACTTCAGACATCCTAACTGGTGTTCAAAAATAATCTGAAAGGATTAAAGCTATCGAATAGGATCAGATCTTGAGAATGGCTTGTTTGAAGGGTGAAAAAAAAAAGGAACTACAAAATCTATTTAGATCAGGTAACCCAATCTTGTTTTTCATTAGGATAAAACCGCCACTTTGGATAAAACCCCAGTTTGTGTTGGTCAAAACTTTTAAGTAGAACTGGGATACATTTGATCCCACAAATCAGGATTATCCTGCTCTCAGCATAGGGCTGGATAACAGAGTGAGGTAAACCTTTATATGTGATCGAACAATACAGACATTAGTTTTTAAAAATAAAGGATTTCATCTCCATAAAAGAATTCACAGAAAAGCTGTTAATATTAAACATAGAAAAACTTCATTTTAAGCACACAACTTTCAATTTCTGTGGATTTTGGCGCCTCCTGTGGACAAACTATGTAATATGAATTCCCATTTAGAGAACTGGTAATCCCGATAAGGTAATGCTTAAAAAGTCTGCACCTGGATGAAAATCACCCAGTCCAGGTTTTTCTTTAAAAACATCTAAGGTTGATGGATTCCCTGGATGACCCTGGATTGAAAAAAAGGGCTTTCCAAGTCTAGATCTTTTCATCCAGATTAAATCTTTTGAACACCAGAGTATAAGTGATCAGACCAGTTTGATTGAGTTCCTATTACACCTGCCAACCCTGCACATGTTTAAGTACCATATCAGTGCTAAAAGATTATCTGGGTCATCTATTGAGGGAAATAAACAATATGAGGAAAATCAACATGGCTATGACTGTATGATATAATATCATGACATGTCACAGCTCTCATGAAAAGATGCACCAACAGGTGAAAACAAAACATTATTTTTGTTTTCTTGTTTTGTATTCAAATCAGATCTGCAGACCTTGTTGTCTCAAACTGAGTGAGCGATGAATGACAATATGAAACCTCTCCTCTTCGTCTAACTATAGTCACCTTCTCTTTATCCGTTTTAATGAACTACGCTGTGCAGCAGATCCAAAATACATTTTCCCGTGTTCTTTCATTTCACTCCTCAAATTTGACTTTAGTGCTGTGTTTAAGAGCTGACTGCAGAGTGCAGTGTGGGGGAAAAAAAAATCTAATCTTAATTTAAACCTACTCACATTTTCTTGAAAAACAACATTGAAAAGCTTAGTTGTGATACAAACAAATTGTATGCTACGCTTTCCCAGTAGTGTCAACATAACTGATCTTCAATCAACCAAACTTAAGCTTTAAGTTCTTGTCTCATTTAAGAAACAAAACTTTCTCCCCCCCATTTAAAAGATTTTCTTAAATGACAAATATCATCGAAAAACATGCAACTGCCTGGAAAAAAAAAAAAAAACGGTAACGAGTACTTTTATACCAACTTCTGATTAAACAGAATGAGTAAACAGTGTCAGTTAACTCAGCAGGCATTTAATGCAAACTTTCATTACTTTTAACATTTTTGGACTGTCTATTTAACAAAGGCACTCCACAGCTCTTCGTCTGGTTCTATGGATCTTAACCAGTGACACAATTATTCATGACGTATCAGACTGCTCTCACAGTGCATTTCTATTTCACTCATACTCTGTATAATGGGGAACACTGCATTCTTTGTGATTTCTTCTGGTTCCTAACGTTGTGAATTAACAAAAATCACAACAATCACCAAAGCTCAGTCAGGCAACAGAAATAGGCTCAACCATAACAAACTGAGATGGATGTGTCTCAGTTTTCTGTTTCGCATCTTCCCTGGCAGTGCAATCACTCACCTGACTACTATTTTTGAAATGATGCAGAAACAGATCGTGCCGCTCTCCAGTAAACATTGTACTAAATCAACCTGAAGGAACAACAGCAGATGAATGTCTGCTGAGCACAATAGATGCAAACCATCTTTGTGTGAAGTCCTACTTGATTGTGGTTGCTTGGAAACACCAGGGACAACCACTGTGTGCGCCTTTTATGCAAATATTGCACCTCACTTTCTAACCACTTCAGAGCATTCAAACCTATTACAACATTACAGTACTTCTCTGGTACATACAGTACATAGAAAGGGAACAGAAGTACATATATTACGGTACAGTTCAGTCTCGGTCATCTGCCTGAAAAAGTGAAACTGTGAATGAGAAAATACACAATAGTTTATGAACATGGATATTCCATGATGATTTCAGTCATGTTAGAGGCTTTCTAAGCCCTAAGTGAAATGCATTTGGTTTGTCTTTATTTTAAGGTGCTACACAAAGATGATAATGGAGTGTGGTCACGTTTGTTATCTAACGAGTAGATAATCAATTACTTTTAAGCCGGATTTCTCACGAGAAATAACTTCTATCTGAAGTGCATACTTCATGCATCATTTGTAAGTTATGTTTAGATGTGTCTCTGTCACATTGTTGTTGTTTACATTGTTACGTCGCTTTTTTTGTTGAACCCAGGAACTCTTCAATGTGGACACACCTGCCAATTTGAATTTGCTACTCTTATTAGCGAAATCCATTAAAATAACAACATTACAAATGAAATAAGTAGCTGGCAGAATGCGAGCATATGTTCCTGATTAATGGACAAAATCAATCTGCTGCTTGTTACCAATAAAGTGCTTAACGGATGAAAGGTTGTTGTGCTTCTTTTCCAAATTCAGTTTGTCTTAACAGAGAATACCTGCATGGTTACATCTGCGTCTCATGTCCTACTTGTTTTGATTGAATGTCGTACATGCAGTGTTGTCTCCTTGGTGTGTCTTCTGTCACCTTGTGTAACTGCCATTCCTGCTGTGCTTTAATCCCCTACTCAAACTAGCTCTGCGATTTGCCCGCTAAATGAAACACTAAGAAGCAGTTCAGTGTGTGTGGTACACATGTGTTCAGGTTGGCAGGAGACTAAAGACTAATAGTGAAGTCAACTTCTAATTACTGAACTACACAGTGGCAGGAACAACAACATTAAAAAACAGAGCTTAAATCTGGAGGTGGCTGGTGGGTCATAAAACGGGCACCTTGTGAGCGGTTGTGTGTCAGGAGAAGGAAGGTTAAAAAGTGTCCTTTGTAAATTTCAGGCTGGTGATGTTAATGGAGACGGTCCAAGTTCAACAAGATGAGGTCAGTCCCTACTGAGGTGGTTTGTGTATGAATGATTGTATACATAGAAATGGCTGTATATGCAATATACATTTTCCCGTGGTTAAGTACAGTATGTGTGCGCAATGCGTTTTAAAGTGGAGCTCTAGGTACTTGCGTGGATGCACAAAATGGATGTGCGTGTCTGTACGTTTTTCTACTCGTAAATGTGTTTTTGGTCCTCATCGGCCCTTGGTGTATCCGGGAAAAAACTGGTCGAGCAGCATCTGGAGCGTGACGTTTTGGATCATGATGAAGTCTTTGCCCAAGTCGTGACGGCACGCCGGGCAGGTGTACACCTGGGCTCGGAAGGACCGCTGGAGACAACTCTGAGGGGAGAGGAGGGGCAGAAGGAGGAGTCGTTTTCAAAATACAAGGACATGAGTTCAGAGCAGTCTCAGTAGTTAGATGTAGTACATGCACATGGTACCTTGCAAACATTGTGTGAGCAGGCGGTGGTGATGGGTTGGAAGGCCAGCTCTTGGCAGCACACGCACATGAAGATCTGCTCCATCTTGCTCAGGAAGTTCTTCATATGTATGTGACAACGAAACATATTAAAGGAATCATTTCAGGTAGAAGATGAAAACGGAAGGATTGAGGAAAAACATCACATCATTATCCCTTTAAGATATGTGTTGGCAATACTGCTATTTTAAATTTCATAAAGATTACGTCGAGCACTGCTGAAAAAGAAAGGGTAAATATAGTGTAAGACCGAACATGAAAATGTCATGTCAGCAGTTTTTCGGCTGGGGTTTGGTGAGTTTAAGTATAAGTGCTTCCCATGCATGGTGTTCAGGAGGGTGATATGTTTGACTGTACGTACCGGCCCCTCTTTAATGTGTCCCATGGCTTCATCCCAGAGTTTCTTGTTGGCCGTGTCCTCGTGGATCAACTGCTTCTGCTGCTCTGACAGCTGGAACGTCTCTTCTATCTTCACCCGCTTGGAGGGAGGCTCTGCTGCTGGTGACGGATCTGTTAAAGACATACAAATGAGACAACAACAACAAAAAAAAAAAACAAGCTCAACTTGGAGAATAAAAGACAACCGAGGAAATTTAAAATGAGCTTTTCTCATTTATAGTACTGCATGCTCAAGGAAAAGATTCTGGTGCAGTTTACAGGAAACCAATGTTCAATATTTTAAAGCTATGTTTGGAGAAGTTTCCTGCTCACTCTGTCCTCTTCGAACAACCCCTTTTCTGGCCTGCTCTGAGCTCCATCTGTAAAAGCACCCACCGCTGTCCCTGTTTGTCTTTTGCTCTCCATTACTCTGCGGCTCTTCGTCCTCTATGGGAGCCATTGGCAGGTCGTCCTCCTCGTCCTCGTCATTCTCCTCCTTCTCTTTGATCTTGCGCTGTCTCCGTTGCCTCCCCCTCCCGAGATGGTGCTTACTCCGGCCTCCACGACCCGGTCTGGCACAGGCCTCCTTTTTCGTCTTGTTGGCCATGGCCTCCACGTAACCTGGTGGGTACTGTTGAGACACGGGGAGACACGGGCGTTAAGTGGACCGTTTAGTTTTAAAGAAGATAATAGGTTCAATTCTGTTTAGAGATTCTGTCTTTTTTTTAAACTATATTTAACTGGGTATTGATATGCTTTTTTTTTTAGTTTATAAGCATTGGTTGATATTTTTGGTGTCTATGAAGTGAAAAACTACATTTTCTGACCTGAACAGAAAGGCCCAGTTTGTTGATCCTCTCCAATCCTTCAGGTGTCCATGGTGCTGGTTCCATATCGTCCCGTCTAAGCAGGTACCGCCACACAAGGTAACCACACTTTCCAATCTCTGGCCAATACTTTACAACCTAAAATGCACAAACAAACAACAATAATAGTACATGCATCGACTTTAGAGCTATTTGAGAGCTGTACATTTTGTTATATTCAGAGGGCAACATAACCTAGGAGTGAACCCTGAAGGTGGAAGCTTTTTTTCTTACAAGCAATTCTTATTGAACAAATTAGGGACCATGTTTGGTTCCAGCATCCAGGTCTCCACAATTCAATCATGAATAAGGATTATGTGCTTTGCTCAGCGGCACTAAAGCTGTCCTAAGGTCTTTAGTCCTGGTTGTTTATTCTCTAATCACGATGCTTTTCTACATTCCTGACGGGTCAACATAAAACTGTTGACCCTGCTGTACTGGCTCATATTTGTAAGAACGTCTTTGTATTCTAAGCAGCTACACATCAATACAGTTGCCCTGTTTTAGACTATAACAAGGGAACGCGTCTGTACCTTGTAAATACCATCGTAGCGGTTTCCCTCCTCAGGAGCATATTTGCTTATGCGTCGACCTTTGGAACTGCGCACCACTCTGACCGGCTTTCCTGCCCGCCAGTTTCTTGACTCTGCACCGTCTTTGTCATTCAGAGGTGCATCACAGTTTAAGGCCAATGCCCTGTGAGGAGTTAGGATCAACAGTTATTCTTAGATGAAACATCAAATCAGTATTTTTCTGTTCAGGCTGAACTATAACAACCAGATACGTCAGCTTTCACGTTAAACTTCTTGTAACTTGGAGGTTAAAAGAAACAAACAAACGACTTCACAAAAAGCATCAAACATGAGGTGCTGGATAGGCTAGCTGTTAAGTCGCGTGCCCAAAGTACAGAGACTATGGTCCTCGAAGCACGTGGCCCAGAATCAACTCTGACCCTTTGCAATTTACCACATCATTACCCACTCTCTCATCCCTGTTTCAGACTATATCCACTATCTTCCTCGACAATAAAGGGATGAATGCCCCAAAATAATCTTTAAAAAGCGCCAACATAAAGGGTTGTCTTGAAGTAACATACCTGTTCATGTGTGTGAGGGTCTGGTCAAAAGAGTGCTCTCCAATCCGTTTGTTTCCTGAGAGGTCGCGACCCCCGCTGCCTGTGTATGTGAACTCATCTCCCCGGTCCTACAGGTAAATCATGAGACGCATTAAGGAGTGATTAACATAACTTAATATGATATTTCCTACATGACTCAGTGAACTATCTGCCAAAACACAATAACACATTATCCACTTTAAAAAGGTTATTAAGGACAGTGAAAAAGACAAACAACCTACCACTTCATCCTCGAAGCCCCCAGCCAACACCAACGAATAGGAGCCATCGTTACTGCGCCCATGGATACCGCCGACATGCGGCCTGTGAACACCTGCCTCACTCACCTGAAGTGTGAAAAAGTTGTGCAGAGGAAAAGCGCAGATGATATGGGAAGTTAGATGTTGGATTCTGGGCTACAGAAAGATATGGCAACGCAAACCATGATGAAATAACATTAACATGTAAAGTATACGAGACAGTGGAGACTTAACTAACTGACATGCATGTACTTTATATGTATATCGAGGTTTGATGCCTTTGAAACAGCTAACCTGAACTCTGAATTTCCAGGTGGTTCCGACAGGGACACCAGGTATTGGTCCGTAGTGATTTGAGGGAACAATTGTGCACTCCTTTGTGCGCCCCACACAGGCCATACCCTGCAATCACAACAAGAATAATAACATTTAATTTGCATACACAAAAATACCATTCAATATCAAGATGAGTTCCAAGATCTCACCTGATGTTGCATCTTGCTAAAGTTTATGATAAATATAAAAAGGACAATTATTCAGAGACAACCAGCTTTGCCTTCGGGAGCTGCATGCCATTTCAAAACATAGAGGACGAACAAAGTATTTTTTTCTTTTAAGGGGTTATACAATTGAGATAATTTGAAAGGCGAGTATAAATCCTGTGTGACTCAGAGCACTTAAATTTGCCTGAAAAACACACAAGGAAGACTGTTTTCAATTAGTCCACAGAGAAAGGGAGCATTCTGGTAAAGAAACGAGTTATTTTCCATCGGTAGTTCCAGGAAAGTGGCTAAGTCATGCTTAATGGCATTGTTCACATTACACCATGGAGCAGAGCAACAGACAGGCAGCCAGAGCGGGGATGGAAAGGAGCCACACACTATCTCAAAGTGTTACCACGAGGAAGACTGAGGAAAACATTTAACAGTATGCTTCCAACAGATGCTATTAGGACAAACGATTTAAAATGCATGTACGTGGGTCTTGTTTTGTTTCTCAGCAGCTAGCATGAGATACTTTTCACTTTTTGCCAAGAAAATTATCTGAATGAAATTTTCACCGAGCAGGAAAAAGTGATGCTGTGATTTTTCAAGAAGAGCAACATAAAGTAGATATGAATTATTGTTTACCGAATCAAACACTTCTGATCTGATCATTTGATTTAAGAAAAAAAGCTGATGTAATTCTCGGTCATTTTATTTCATTCATAATACAATTCAAATATCAAACGCAAAAAAGGATAACACAGAAGGACTTTGACTGTGGCTCCTTTCCCGCACTATCTACATCTCTACCATACCAGATCTAAATAAAGTTGAAGATTGATAAAGCAGTATATTTATACACTTAAAGCTCAGTGTATTTCTTTTCTTAGGTAAATTTAAACTATTTTGACTACATAACATGTTACACATGTCCTCCATGGCATAAAAATCTTAGTTGTATTAATTTGAAGATCAAAGTGTTTTTTTTTTTTATTATCAGGCAGACTTTTGGAAAACAATCTAAAAAAATGTGTACTGAACATTCAGCCCTTTTTTTTTTGCTCCTTCTAGATAATTTAAGAAAGAAGGTTCTCCTCAGGATAACTAACATAACAAGTCTTTTGGAGCAGCTGCCATGTTTGTGTGTGTGTGTGTGTGTGTGTACCTGTGGGTGGCCCTTGACTCTCACCTTTCCCCAGTCCCTTTGACTCTCAGTTGTTGCTGAAGGCATCTTTGCTTTCTTCTTACTGGCTTTGAGCTTCTCTCCAGCCTTTACGACCTCACTGGTGTCGTTCTTACAGGTGGGGCAGTACCTGGCAGGAGGAGAGCAAACTGTTTTTGTAGATGTGCGAGTTTGTCACGATTTGCAAAAAGGCTCAAAATAAAATAAAGATGCACTGGCCATGTTTTGGAAAACACAAGTCATGCAAACATAAGAAGAAATGTACACGAAAAGGCCACGGGGCAAAGACACTGACATTTTTTTTGGAAGAAAATGATGAAAACATTAACATTAAGACAACATTTACATTTTAAAGTAAACCAGACACAATCTTCCGAATTTGACAATTTCAAATTTAACATGAACCTTACATTTTCTTTTTTTTCTGTTTAAATTTAATCTAGCAATGCATTCACGATCTCCCTTTATGAAAAGAAAAATTACACTTTTTATTTCTTTTTTTTTAACAGAGAGAGTCGCTGCATCAGATAACCTCACACCTGGGAGTGTATTTTGAAATAATGGATTTTAACCTCAATCACCACTTAATTACTTCTTCAATACACTTCAGCTAACACCGAACACCATTCATCGACCTTGGTAAATTGCATGTGAAGCGTAGGATGATGTTGCGCCCGACTGCTTAGCTACACTCTGCCTCACCAGTCCTCGTCATCTGGGATGGTGGACAGCGGCGGGTTGAGGCAGTAGATGTGGAACGCCATGTTGCACTCGTCACAAAGAAGCTGCATGTGAGCGTCCTGCTTCCCCCCACACACACAGCAGGAGCAGAAGCGGCACTCTGCGTCGGGGTCGGCCTTGCAGTGCTTACACTCGGGCCCGCTCTTCCCTTTAACCAAGAGTAAGAAGAAAAATTTGATACACATGGACATATACTGTAAGATGATTTTATGGTATGGACGCAGGTAAATAAATCTTTAAAAGGAAAAGCAGGTTCGGCCAGTATTTTTAATGCTTGTATAAGAGTGTTTGCCTACGTTTAAATTGTCCATCTGTAGCTGAGAGTGCACAAGCTCCTGGCTTCTCAACCTGGTAGATTTCATCCAGAAACTGGACTTTACAATCCCCGATTACATCGCCTGGACCCCTGGAGGGAAGACGAGAGAAGCAATTGGAAAAAGATAGAGTGAGAAAGATGAAACCTGACATGAACTCAGAAGATGTGTGATTGAGTACACAACAGAGACACAGAAGGAATCAACACAGATTAAGTTCCATTGGCATCTTGGTAAGAAAGAAAACAAACAAATAAGGTTGGCTTGGACAATCTCCTCACCCCAAGAGGATCTTGACACGCAGCTCCTTGTTTGTGCGGGACGTTTGGTTGACGATCTGAACCTCTGCGTCAAACCAGAACCCCCTCTCGTCTGGCGTTTCCATGTTGTAGTTAACCATCACTTGCATGCCCACCTGGAGCTGGTCCCACCGCAGAAGGGTTCTGGCACGTGGCCGGACATGCATCGGTCTCATCTCCACCACGCCATTCTCTGGGTAACTGGGGTAGAAAGAAGAGCAGAGAAAAGAACAAGGTTAAGTTGTGGGATCTATTTATGGCTGCTGTCTTGACACTGTTGTCTTTAATATTTCAAAGCAGTCCTTTGGAATTTATTGAAGAGAGATCAATGCATTAACCTGGAGTGCTAAATTTATAAGCAATATAAGCCTCTCTGTACAGAGGGGGGAAACACTATTATACAAGTGGATGTAGCACACTAAGCCATCACCATAACAAACCAGGGGCTTTTGAGTTTGACAGAAAAACTAAAATCTGTTTAATTCTGCCCAGAACCACAGCATGTAATGTTGCTGTGACCTATGAACCTATAACAAATGATTCAAATGTGAATTCAGCCATCTGATCTCCCATTAGTTCCTGTGTAGAATACTGTGCAAACAAAATGTGATTATCCTCACAAAATGCAGCTCCTTTCAGTACATCAACTAGATGGGCAAACAAAGTTCAGCACAGGTTAACCTCAAGAGAAAGGAAGGCTTTGTGCATAAAGGTCAACTAGAAGAAGCCAGAGACTTTATAACCAATAAATATGTATATATACTGCTAATAAATATGGGTATATTTAAATATTTACCATGAGACAATTGCATACAACAGCTCTACGATTGTGTTTCTAGGGGGAACGATTAAGGTGGTTCTCTTCTACTATGGCCTCCCTCCACCTTCCTGTTAAAAAGTTAAAGATAGAGTCAGTAGCTTCTTCCTACAAAAATAAAAATGATAGACTTAGATAAAAGTAATGCCAATAAATCATCACTTATGGTGGTGACTGTGTCTACAGAGACGCTGTCCTCTGCCTGTGTTTTGATGTTTTGCTTTGTTTTGGTTGACACGGGACGTTTCTGGGTGGGGGTAGCTGGTGTGTTTCTCTCAGCCAATGACAGCGCACAGATGTGTCAAGGAGTGAATATAAAACAGTTATTGGACGCAATTCAAACTGGTGGTTTGACGGATGTTGAAGTCCTGGCAAAGAAGAGAAAATAAAACCACATTGAGGCGAAACACAAAGGGGCTAAAGCTCATTCCAAAATGAGGGTAAATCTTGTGTAAGCTTTCACCTGCAGACGCGGAGTTGGCCTGCTTTTCTGTTGAACTGGCAGGTGCCAAACAATGGAAGTAATCTAGTGCTAGTGTGCGGTAGCTTGCAGTGTAGCTACAAGCAGTTAATGTACACAGCATGTCATGCAGTGAGTGTGATGAGCCCTGTTTGAATGTTGTGTTTACAAGCTGCAATGAACAATGCTACTGACTACCTTTAAGTAAGGCATTACCTCACTCCTCCAAGAATCGCCACCTTAACGTGGTGGAGGAGTTTGCATGTCCCGGTGAACCCGGGAGCTGTGTTGTCAGGGGCACTAGCCCCTGATAGGGTCTCCCAAGGCAAAGTGGTCCCAGGGGAGGGGCCAGACGAAGAGTGGTTCAACAAATACCCCTATGAAGAGGCACACATTGAAGCATGCCAACTTGCCCGGAAGAGGGAAACCGGGGCACCCCCCTGGAGCCAGACCCAGGGGGGGGAGCTCGAAGGCGAACATCTGGTGGCCGGGCTTCCCTCCATGGAGCCCGGTCGGGCTCAGCCCGAAACAACCACATGGAGCCGCCGCCCTGTACGCCCACCACCCGCAGGCAGCGGCATGGGGGAAGGGTGCATGCAGAGCCGGGTGGCAGGCGTAGGCAGAGGCCTGAGCATTCTGATTCCCGGCAGCGCAGACTGGCTCTAGGGACGTGGGACGTCACCTCTCTGGCAGGGAAGGAGCCAGAGCTGGTGCGGGAGGTGGAGTGCTACCAGCTCGACATAGTTGGGCTCGCCTCTACGCACAGCGTCGGTTCTGGAACCAAACTCCTGGAGAGGGGCTGGACTCTCTTTTTCTGGAGTTTTCCCCGGTGAACGAGAGGGTCACCTCTCTGCGACGTCAGGTTGCAGAGAGGAAGGCTCTGACTGTTGTATGTGCATATGCACCTAACAGCAGCTCAGAGTGCACAGCCTTCTTGGAGTCTCTGGGTGGGGTCCTGGAAGGGGTTCCGCCTGGGGACTCTGTAGTTCTACTGGGGGACTTCAACGCTCACGTGGGCGACGACAGGGACACCTGGAGGGGAGTGATTGGGAGGAACGGCTTGCCCGATCTAAACCCTTTGAACCCTTTGAGGCTTTGAAGAAGGACTTTCGGTTGGCCTCAAGGAGGTTCTGGCAAACCGTCCGACAGCTCAGTTAGAAAGCTTAGAAAGCATGGGAATTTGCTCATCCAGTCTACGTGTGTTTTATGGATTTGGAGAAGGTGGGAGGTACTGCGGAATATGGGGCCCCGGGGCCGTTGGTACGAGCCATCCGGTCCCTGTTTGACCAAAGTGGGAGCTGTGTCCGCATCCTCGGCACAAAGTCAGACACGTTCCCAGTGCTCGTGGCCTCTGCCAGGATTGCCCCTTGTCCCCGGTCCTGTTTGTGATCTTTATGGACAGGATCTCAAGAAGCAGCAGGGGGGAGGAGGGTTTCCAGTTTGGGGACCTCAAAATCTCGTCTCTGCTTTTTGCAGATGACGTGGTTTTGTTGGCTTCCTCAAGCTGGGACCTCCAGCAGGCATTGGAGCAGTTTGCAGCCGAGTGCGAAGCATCTGGGATGAGGGTTAGTGCCTCCAAGTCCGAGGCCATGGTTCTCTGCCGGAAAAAGGTGGATTGCTCTCTCCGGTTGGGGAGTGAGTCTTTGCCCCAAGTGGAGGAGTTCAAGTATCTCAGGGTCTTGTTCACGAGGGTAGGATGGAGCGTGAGATTGACAGACGGATTGGCTCGGCGTCAGCAGTAATGCAGGCGTTGTGTTGGACCGTTGTGGCAAAGAGGAGCTGAGCCTGAAGGCAAAGCTCTCATTTACCGGTCGATCTACGTTCCAACCCTCTATGGGTAGTGACCAAAAGAATGAGATCGCGGATACAAGCGGCCGAAATGAGCTTCCTCCGGAGGGTGGCTGGGCTCAGCCTTAGAGATAGGGTGAGGAGCTCGTACATTCGGGGGGAGCTCGGAGTAGAGCCGCTGCTCCTCCGCATCGAAAGGAGCCAGTTGAGGTGGTTCAGGCATCTGTTAAGGATGCCTCCTGGACGCCTCCCTTTAGAGGTTTTCCAGGCACGACCAACTGGGAGGAGACCCCGGGGCAGACCCAGAATGCGCTGGAGGGATTATATATCCTGTCTAGCCTGGGAACGCCTCGGAATCCCCCAGGAGGAGCTGGAAAACATTGCTGGGGAGAGGGAAGTCTGGGTTGCGCCTGCTACCACCGCGACCCGACCTCAGACAAGCGTAAAAAAAAAAATGGATGGATGGAAAAACACTACTCTGATATGTTTAGTTTAAAACTAAAGCAACTCTTTTTCCTAGTCATCATGAATGTGTAAACAGCAATACGTCATACACATTTTAACTTTGTTAATTTGCTTCTTTCTTTTTTTTTTAAGATCCCATCTGGAGCTGTGAGTAAGAAAGACATTTAGACAGAAAGGGAACATTTCCAGCTATATTATTTAATTTGTTGTTTCACACTAAAAGTAAAGTGTTATTGTGAATATTTCTGTATATATTCAGTCTGGTTTGATTAGAAGTGACTGATTTTCATCCTGAGCATCATTTCTGGAAACTGCGGCACCCTCTGACTCAGCCGACTCAACACAGAGAGGAAAGTTTAAGAAACTAAAGGCGATTAACAGCCAAGATAAACTATTGTGTAGTGGTTGAAAGATTAGGCTTGAACAGCTGAAGCTGAACAAGCTTAGTTTGACATGCACATAGCTTTAGTTTTTGCGACTTAATGTTAGCTCAAACTTAACTGACAGTGCAAACTTTATCCCTGTAAGACTACAACATGTCTATCCATCTCTCTCTTTCTGCATCTCCCTCTATCCAACTTTCCAAACCCGACACAGCTGCAGCAGATTGCTGCTCAACATGTTTCTGGTTCTGCTCAAGGTTTCTGTCTGTTATAAGGCAGTCTTGGGTGGATTAATATAGGGTCCATGTAAATAATATAATAAAGAGTGAAGTCTAGACAGACCTGCTCTTTTGTGTCTTGAGATAACATTTGTTATGAAATGGCACTATACAAAGATTGATTGATTGATTGATTGATTGATTGATTGATACTGTATAGGTTAACTGAACTAAACACATCAGATGAAAGAGCTTTGGTGGTGAAAGTAGGCTGATTTTTTTTTACACATGGAGGGGGCCAAGATAGCCTTTTCCCCTTTATTGACTTTGTGCGAAGTCTAACTTAGTCAAGCTAAGCTAATCTAAGCTAAGATGCAGGCCATAGCTTCATATTTACATTATGAAAATGATTTCATAACTTTGTCATGTTACTCTTAGCAAAAAAGTGGAAAAAGTATCTTTTCACCCAAACAATAAGCTCTTCTTCATCCTTTTCTGACTTTTTTTTCATTTTATTATGTTCAGTTTCAATAAGGAAAACCAGCATCACATTCTGTAGCATTTAAAATTCTAAATTGTTGACAGAAAAAGTCTGAAATGTATTATTTTCAAGCAAACTTGGAGTGGAGATCCTGAGGTTATCCGCACAGGTTTCCTGCCTGCCAATCATTATTAACTGTAAGGATCAGGCCTGACTCAGAGGTAAATTGACAGCTTGCCTGCCTGTCTGCCTGCCAATAGATGGAATTATGCAAACAATGAGTTAGCACTGAAGTTTAACAGCACAACAGCCTGCACACCGAGGTCTGCTCACACAGTGGGAGGTGAAGGGGGGGAAGTAGAGACTTGTGTGCATGAGCGAGCAGTGTATGTGTGTGTTTGTGAGAGAAAGCTGAGCCTTAGCATGGAACGTTCTCAGACAATCTGCACTAACACAGTGCCAACAATGCACCGTTGAGCTCAGGCAATGAATAACTTTTTAGAATTTGATCTAGTCAGAATTTACACTAATTAAGCTTTATAAACTTACTAAAAAGACCAAGCTGCATATTACAGCCATTAAAAACTGA